TCCTTATTCTCCGCAAGTAGCGCTCGCGTCGTTAGATCAGCGAAAATCTGAGATCCTGGTCCCGATTTTGGAGTGGTTCCACTTTCTGTGGAACCCATCGTTGGCGTTGTCCTCTTATACTACTTCATGGTGCTGACTCTACAAAAACTCATGTTAATGGATTAGGATAATTAGGATCGATTATTAGGCCAGATTCCAAAATGAAAAACGGAACTTCTACAATCTGTGTGTTCTTTTGACACCTCCGACATCGGGAACTTAATTGCAAGATTAAAAGATTGGTAATTTACGTTGGTAGGAAATGTTTTGGTCAAATAGGATCGGAGTTTCCTTATTCTCCGCAAGTAGCGCTCGCGTCGTTAGATCAGCGAAAATCTGAGATCCTGGTCCCGATTTTGGAGTGGTTCCACTTTCTGTGGAACCGATCGTTGGCGTTATGTCCCCTTATACTACTTCACGGTGTTGACTCTACGAAAACTCATGTTAATGGATTAGGATAATTAGGATCGATTATTAGGCCGAAATCCAAAATGAAAAACGGAACTTCTACAATCTGCACCTCCAACATCGGGACACTCGCCAGCTTGTCGACGAGCTCGTGCTCGAGTTTTCGATCAGACGACAACCCTTTATTTACAAAGCGTATCAATAGTGCAGTTGCTGCCCTCTGAATTTCGCTTCATCTGCTCTTCCCCGCTAGAACTCCTCGAACTCCAGCTCGAACATCCTCCTGATCACGTCGTCTATCTGCAGCTCTTTCGAGACCTCCGACGTCAGGTCGCTCACCAGCTTGTCGGCAATCCTGAGGAGGAATTTTTCATTAGACACGGTTCAGTTTCGACCACTAAATAAACATAGAAAATAAATATAGAAAATAAACTATACACTAACTGGATAGCTGATACCCTGGGTTGGGTAAGTATAATGCGTCATGTAATATACGTGGTTTTCTACGCGTATAATACAACGTATAATACCCCACTGAACACCTAACAGTTACGTAACTTAAGACTAACACATAACATAACGTTTGTTACGATGTAATAACCTAACAGTTACGTAACTTAAAACTNAAATTGAGTTAGTTTCTTTTATTAAATGTATGAAAAATTAATATTATTTTAAGGTAACTGAAATTATAACGTTAATATAACATGTTACATAACATGTTACCTTACCAAGTGAGAAATAATAACAAACATCTAACTTTCATGTTACTTTTATGCTACGTAACATGTTAGTTTCGAAAACGTAACATTTACCCAACTGTTATATAATAGTGTTCACTGGGACGTCCCTAGTTTTCTACGCAAACGCAAAGTACATTCCGCCCTTCTCTTTTTAAATAGAAAATAACAAATCCAATTAAAAATTTTATATTAAACAGGGTTAAGTCGAAAGAATTTGAACACAAACGGTAAATTAATTGTTTCTTAACAATTTTTACGTGTTTATATGTGCACTAAAAGACATTAACCTCGCGAATCATATATCATGCATCTATGGAATCCGCCATATTGAAAACGTAAAATTCTAAAAAATTTTGAATACAAGCGGCAAATTAATTTATTATTCTTTAAAATATTTCCGTGTTTACATATGTGCTAAAAGACGTTTATAACCTAGCAGAAGCCGTATATCGTCCATCTGTGGCATTCTTCATATTGGAAACGTAATTTACTGGTTTTCTACGATTTTCTCTGGTAAACTACTTTGTTACGCATTATACGTTAAAATCTTGAAAAACCTCGAAAAGTGGGTAATTACCTATTTGTTCTATACAGAGAGGACTTTGACGAACTCAAGGTACCCCAGCGCCAACTACACACAGGCAGCGATACTAAATAAGTAACGAATGCGCATGTGCAAAAGTTATGAACTCTCAATCCGTCAAACGCGGGAATTACAAACGAACCGTCAATTCACCAAGGTAAACTTTTAAGGTATAAATGTAAGAAGAGGCATAATATATGTATAAAATGATGCGTTGAGCATATCGTAAGAAACCTTCGACTAAAACAAAACGGTTATCTTCTTTTTTCGTAAGTATTTTCATAAAAATTACAATGATTTTCTTCCAGTAAATTAATTTGGTACCTCTTATACTATCTACGGTTGAATCGCGCATTATTTTGACACATGCGCAAATAGTACGATATTAGCTGCCGTGCCCATTACTAGAGGCGCTGTGATCGCTTCGAAACGTCACGCCATTTTGTAGGATACAGCTATCCAGTTAGTATCAGAGATTAATGGAGATATGTTTTATGCCATTGTAGAGTGAGGCACGGCTCCCTAGCGTCTTGGAACTGTTTTAAAAACTGCGAAATGTTCCCTATCGATAAAGAAAAACCCATCTGCAGATTTCAAATACGGCACAGTATCGATAGAATGAAGTTTCGCCTTTTTGTTTTTAGTATCAGGGTCAACGTACGTTGGGAAACAAGACTACGAATACGAAATAAAGTTGCTATGCGTGGATGATTGAGTTTACAACGCGACACCCACGTATACCCTGTTTTACCGACCACGAAGATTTCGCCCCTTTGAAAGTAGTTCCAATTTTTACAGAGGGGTAAAGGGCGTAGAGGGCGCCAGGGGGCCGTGCCTCCCTTTCAAACAATGCCGTGAAACATCTCTCCGCTCATCTCTGCTAGTATATAGATCACAGGTTTTTATGAAGACGTGGGTGTTTTACCAGGCCACAACGTCCCAGGGCTTGTTCTGTGTGTTGCTGGAATACATCGGGCTCGAACTACACGATTGCTGGTAGTTGCGCCGGTACTCCAATGCGCATGCGCTCACCTCTTCTGAAACTGTCAGCTCGGTTGCGCCACTTTCCCTGGACACCTACCAAAGAAAGGCGAAAATGGCTACACACACTGAGAGAAAAGCAGCTGCAAAACTGAACTATTTGATACGGTTAAGGTGAAGTGAAACACGTCGAGGAACTTGATCGACGTCGATAAAGAAGATTTTTCTAAATGCCTACGTTGCCGACGTTCGTTTTTGTATCGACAGCTGGGCCGAATTATATTGGATATTGTACCAAATGGCATACTCCACCTGTCGTTTTCGTACAATAAATACCAAGAAATCGAAATAAAACTCCAGAAATCCTCTGGATTCGTGCTTTCTGGGGCCCTAATTGACTGCGGAGGGACCCCCTGCGCCATCTGTGATTTCCAGGTCAATTAAATTTTTCCTGCGATACCTCGTATTACCATCGTTTTAGCATAGAAGCGCATACAACACTTTTTTTGCCTTTATCCCGTTCAAATGCGAGTTTATCGGTTACCAGAGTGTTCTAAATTGTCCTAAAACTGTCCTGATCCTTTCGTTTCTCATATCAGAGCCTTCGATAATGGTATATCGATCGAAATATGAGAGCTCGACGCCATTTTGGTTCTGGTCTGGGCTGAGTTAAGACATTTTTTTCAAAAATCCAAATTTTGAATGTGTCAGGACAATTCTTAGATGATCAGGAGTAATGTGTCAAGTTTCGGCGAGTTTTGTCTAATACCCTTAAAAGAAAGTGTTGTATTCTAATCGACTGACTGGAAGGGGGTCTCACTTCACCTTAAGGTGACGTGAAAGTGGCATTAAAAAGGTTTCGTTCATGAAACTTTTCTCCAAACTGGATACACTGATTTAATTTAAACTTTACAATATAAATATGTAGGATATAAGGAAATCCTGAAAATCATGAATATTAAATTTGTTACAAATTTGTTCATAGACATTTCCAAAATTTGTTATAAAAAATGGAATTTCATGGGTGTCAGGAGCTTCCTTGTAGCCTTCGCATTGAGTTTGTGAAGTTTGAAACGATTCGGTACACCCGGTTCAGCGAAAAGTTTCATGAACGATCGACCCTTCATATGGCACTTTCACGTCCCCTTAAGGCGTTAAAAAGGTTTCGTTCATGACACTTTTCTCCAAACTGGATACACTGATTCAATTTAAACATTACAATATAAATATGTAGGGTATAAGGAAGGTCCTAAAAGTCATGAAAATTAAATTTGTTACAAATTTGTTCATAGATATTTCCAAAATTTGTTATAAAAAATGGAATTTCATGGGTGTCAGAAGCTTCCTTGTAGCCTTCGCATTGAGTTTGTGAAGTTTGAAACGATTCGGTACATCCGGTTCAGCAAAAAGTTTCATGAACGATATTTATATGGAACTTTCGCATCCCCTTAATTTTACTATAAAAAGTCTCCGAGTGCATTTCGAGCTACGAGATGTAAAAAACAGTTAATTTAACTGTGAATTTTGTCTCGGGGTACCACGAGGAGAAGCTAGTCGACTCACATGCGAAGACGACTCCTCATCTCTTGCGACCCTTTCCGAGTCGGCTTGGCAGGAGGCGTCGCTGAACTTCGGAGCTTCCTCGGCAGTTTCATTCGCCGAGAGACAGATCAGCTGAACGTTCTTCGAGCCGCTCCGAATCCCGCACGACCTGTACAAATGCAAATCGCAATGACGACCTGAGCATTAAAAAGCGAGTGTAGGTCCCGGTAAAGGAAAGTCGGTCACATTGAATTGTAAAGTCGGAGGCGAGAATATCGCCGGAATTTCCTGGCGGATGTTCCGCCACGTTTTTCACGTCTGCGATGAGATCCCTAGTAGCACAAAATATTTCACCTATATTTTCTGTATATTTAACGCATATCGTACATTTTGTAAATATTTAGCAGACATTTGAAATATTTGCAAAGCGTTTACTTTAGAATATAGTCTTTATAANAAATATATACAAAATGTACGATATTCGTTAAATATATAGAAAATATAAAACAAATATGTGCTACTAGGAGCGGTTTTAACAGCCTTTTAAGGTGATGTGAAATTGGCGACAAAGAGTTCTCGTTCATGAAATTTTTTTTACTGGGTGTAATGAATCGATTCAAACTTTACAGTATAAATATGTAGAGTATAAGGAAAGTCCTGAAACTCATGAAATTTCATTTACTGTTAAATTTATTCCTACATATTTATAAAATTTGTTATAAAAAATGAAATTTCATGAATGTGAGGACCTTCCTTATAGCCTCCGCATTCGCGTTGTAATGTCTAAAGCGATTCGGTACTCCCAGTTCGAAGACAAGTTTCATGAACAATTGACTCTTTGGATGCCACTTTCACATCCCCTTAAAGAGGGATGTGCATTACTTCCGGTAGGTAGAGCCTGGGTCGTCCTCGGAAGAAATTAGTCTGACGGGATTCCTCGGTGCCTTGTATTCTTTCAAGAACTCCATGATGGTTTTCATCGATGCCGAGGACACAGGCCTGATCTCGAGGTCGTTTTCCTGAAAACGAATCAAAATTACAGAGCGACATGAAAAGGGTAATTTAAGGTGAAGTGAAACCCCCTTCAAATCAGTCGATTCGAATACAATACTTTTTTTTAAGGGTATTAGACCAAACTGTCCGAAACTTTGAAACATCACTCCTGATCATCTAAGAATTGTCTTGACGCATTCAAAATTTGGATTTTTTATATAAATTTGTTAACTCAGCCCAGACCAAAACCAAAATGGCGTCAAGCTCTCATATTTCGATCGATATACAATTATCGAAGGCTCTGATATGAGAATCGAAGGGGTCAGGACAATTCTACGACAATTTAGAACACTCCGGTAATCGATAAACTCGCATTTGAACGGGATAAAGGCAAAAAAAGTGTTGTATGCGCTTCTATGCCAAAATGATGGTAATACGAGGTCTCGGAGTGAAAATTTAATTGACCTGGAAATCACAGATGGCGCAGGGGGTCTCTCTGCAGTCAATTAGGGCCCCAGAAAGCACGAATCCAGAGGATTTCTGGAGTGTTGTATTCGAATCGACTGATTTGAAGGGTGTTTCACTTCACTTTAAGGATGTGAAAGTGGAATTCCTAAGCTCGATCGTTCATAACGCTAACTGGGTGTACGGAATCGTTTTAAACATTACATCATGGATATGGAGGCTATAAGGAAGTCCTGACACTTATGAAATTTGATTTTTTATAAAAAATTTTGAAATGTAAATAAACAAATTTTCAAAAAACTAAAATTTTGTGGGTATCAGGACCTTCCTTCCAGCCTCCATATTCACATCGTGAAGTTTGAAACGATTCGGTACCCCCAGTTCGGAAAATTTCATAATCGAGACCTCTTTGCCGCCACTTTCGCATCACCTTAATGAGACTTCTATGTGCCCATAATTATGAAAGTGGTCTAAGTCATATATTTTTTGTTTCGAAATTACATTGAATTAATTTCGTTTGAAATAATATGGCGTGAAATAACTGATGCTCATTTTTTTTTTTAATTTTGACTTAGACCACTTTCATAATTATGGGCACATATATCCACAAATCTGGAGCACCATAACGCACCTCGTGCGTTACGAGAGACATTAGATCTGCGATAACCGGCACCAAGTCGGACAGTTGTTTCCTCGTCATCGTTGCCGCCTTCTCGCCCAGATGTCGCCCACAAGCAACCGCGTCCTTTTTGTAAACCTTCGTTTCCTTGCAGAGCGTCAATCCAGGTTCCTTGGACACCAACGTGCGGTTTTGCGTGCCGAGATTCCTACTTTTCGGGACCAGGTTCATCGAATCCCTGGACTGATCATCGCTGCTTCCCTGGATAACAAACACCGTAACGAGGAGAAGGAATTTAGTTGACACTGAATAGACAGATGGCGCAGGGTGGCACTTTGCAGTAAATTATAGTATTAAGGTGAAGTGAAACCCCTTTCAAATCAGTCGATTCGAATACAACACTTTTTTTTAAGGGTATTAGATCAAATTGTCCGAAACTTTGACACATCACTCCTGATCATCTAAGAATTGTCCTGACACATTCAAAATTTGGATTTTTGGGAAAAATTTTGTAACTTAGCTGAGACCAGAACCAAAATGGCGTCGAGCTCTCATATTTCAATCGATATACAATTATTGAAGGGTCTGATATGAGAAACGAAAAGGTCAGGACAATTTTACGACAATTTATAACACTCTGGTAATCGATAAACTCGCATTTGAACAGGATAAAGGCAAAAAAAGTGTTGTACGCGCTTCTATGCCAAAAGGATGGGAATACGAGGTCTCGGAGTGAAAATTTAATTGACCTGGAAATCACAGATGGCGCAAGGAATCCCTCTATAGTCAATTAGAGCCCCAGAAAGCATGAATCCAGAGGATTTCTGGAGTTTTACTTCGATTTCTTGACATTTATTCTACGAAAACGACAAGTGGAGTATGCCATTTGGTACAATAACCAATATAATTCGACATAGCTGTCGATATAAAAACGAACGTCGGCAACGTAGGCATTTAGGAAAATCTTCTTTATCGACGTCGATCAAGTTCCTTGACATGTTTCACTTCACCTTAAGGGCGCTCACCACTCCAGCGATTTTGCAGGGCCTCACGGGGACAACGATTTCGGATGTATTTCTAAACCGATCGAGCTTAACGAGTGCTCATATCGAAAATAAAATGTTGACCTGTGTTTATATGGGAGCGATTTTCGATAAGTGGTCATTTTCATATAAAAAAGTGCAAGGACATAATTTCAATGCCCTTTTACCTAGGAAGGAGGTGCTTGATCGAAAATCGCTCCCATATAAACACACATCAACATTTTCTCTTTAAAACGAGCACTCGTTGAGCTCAATCGGTTGAGAAATACGCTCAAAATCGTTGTCCCCGTGGAGCAGGCCTCCAAAAGGCAACGACGTGGGGGAGAGGCAGCCCCCACGCGCCCAAGAGCCATCCGTAAACCTCCTCGTGGTGGGGCTGGATGCGGATCCCTATGGATCCGTAACGAAACGGCAAATGGCTACTGGGGAACCATGAGAGATGCTCGCTCTGCGGAGTTTGATCGCACTCTTGTTCCCCCTAGAGTTACCGGCGAAAGGTGGCCCTCGTCATGGGAATACTTCTCGACCGGACGGCTGGAGGTGCTCCGGGTAACCCGTCCCGTGTCCTCGGTTTATCCGGGTGCGGGTTGGGGGCCGGCCCTACCGGCCGTAATAAGAAGGCCGGCGAGCTAGTACGGGCCGATAGGTGGGATAACCGATCCGATATTTGCCGGGTCAACTCGGCCGATGGATCGGGTTCCCACCCGACCTAGCCGGGAAAGCTCGCCAAACCACGCTGGAGCATTACGTCTCAGCTGTCGCCTTGCACGGATGCTCGCACCACGCGGGTGCAGGGGAGAGACCTCCACGTTGGTTCCCCGCGGGCAACGGGCGGGGTCAAGCGGCCTCCCTTCGGGGAGTGCGTCGCGGAGGCCCCGACCCGGCTAGCGCCTCCCCAGGGTTTGTCGAGCGGTCCAGAGCATTCGGATTTTTCCAGGTCCGTCATGGGACTACCCCCCCTGATAGTGGGGGCGGTAGTGACGTTAGATTACGTATACCCTTCGGGGTGCCGCTAGAAACCAATGGTTTAGGCGCGGTTGGCCTTCGGGCCGGTACCTCGAGACTTGTCCCCGTGGAGCACCTTTTTCAGGATTTTCAAGTTTCTCGCGAGAAATTTGGGCATTCCTTAGCAACCGTTGCCGACTCTAGGCGGAGCGTCCACCTGGCGTGTGCGTGCGGCCGAGGGTCACACACGTTTCGGCGCCTAGTCCAGAGGCGTCTAGCCGTTGTGTGAGTCCTATACGTGCAAAATACGCACACATTTTTTGCCCGTTGCTAAACACTGCCCATTATGCGTCGCGTCTCCCTCATTCGAGCGAGAAAGTACGTTTTGGTTACCTCCCACCGAATTCGATGCTAATGCCATCTAGCGGTGGAAGTCATCGTCCCCACCTTGGTGGTGAACGCCGTTAAGGGGTTACACCACTTTGACCCACCCAAAAATTACGGTTTTTCGAATTTATTTTCTATTTAAAAAGAAAAGGGCACAATGTGGTTTGCACTCGGGTAGAAAACTAGGGATGTATGATACGTTGTAATATACATGTAGGAAACCATGTATATTACATGACGTATTACACTTACGCAACCCTGCCTGAGACCCTTACCGCGGAGTTCATAGGCACCGAGTCCATTACGGTGCCGATGTCGTCTTCCTTTACGGGGACCTGGATCTTCGCGCGAGTTCCTTCCTTGGACGACCTCAGGTTCGTGGAACTGGGGTTGGGACAAGGAAGTCGTTCCAAGGGGATGCGACTGTTCGAAACGATCTTGGTGGAGCCGCGCATCCTATCCCGGCGGGGACAAGTGTCTGGAAAAGGAGAAAGAAAAACCTTTAAGGGGATGTGAAAGTGGCATCCGAAAGCTCAGTCGTTCATAAAACTTTCCTACGAACTGGGTATCTCAAATCGTTTCTTACTTTAAAACGTGAATATGAAGACCCTAAGGTAGGTCCTGAAACTCGGGAAATTTCATTTTTTATAAGCTATTTTTAGAATACCTATAAACGAATTTTAAAAGGATTGAAATTTCATGAGTTTCAGGACCTTCCTTATAGTCTCCCTATTCACGTTGTAGAGTTTCACCCTATTCGGTAAACCGTGATGGGAGAAGTTTTATAAACAACACCTCTTCGACGCCACTTTCACATCGCCTTAAGAGGATGTGAAGACAACAAACAAAACCGTAAACGAAACAATATAACAACATATTAAGGTGAAGTGAAACATCCTTCAAATCAGTCGATTCGAATACAACACTTTTTTTTAAGGGTATTAGACCAAACTGTCCGAAACTTTGACACGTCACTCCTGATCATCTAAGAATTGTCCTGACGCATTCAAAATTTGGATTTTTCAAAAAAATTTTTTAATAGCCCAGACCAGAACCAAAATGGCGTCGAACTCTCGTATTTCGATCGATATACAATTATCGAAGGCTCCGATATGAGAAACCAAAGGATCAGGACAATTTTACGACAATTTAGAACACTCTGGTAATCGATAAACTCGCATTTGAACGGGATAGGACAAAAAAAGTGTTGTATGCGCTTCTTTGCTAAAACGATGGGAATACGAGGTCTCGGAGTGAAAATTTAATTGACCTGGAAATCACAGATGGCGTAGGGGGTCCCTCCGCAGTCAACTAGGGCCCCAGAAGGCATGAATCCAGAGGATTTCTGGAGTTTTACTTCGATTTCTTTATAATTATTGTACGAAAACGACAGGTGGAATATGCCATTTGGTATAATACACAATATAATTCAACACAGCTGTCGATATAAAAACGAACGTCGGCAACGTAGGCATTTAGAAAAATCTTCTTTATCGACGTTGATTAAGTGCCTCGACGTGTTTCACTTCACCTTAAGACCTACAAAACAGGAACAAAGCACGCGGGAGACGTTCTGGTACCGCCGCGTCACCACACAAAGGAACAACCGCATGGAGAGCGACTAGTTCCTTATGCTCTTACAACCCATAAAGAGAACAAACTCCAATACGAGACAAAGGAATAATACCCAAAACAGTTTAACAGTTTGAGTTGGCTAAGGTGTCCCAATGGATACTGCAGGCCAAAATAGGTGCACCATCACAGAAACAGAACAGAAACATCGAAAGGGAGAGAAAGAGAGAGAGAAATAGAAGACGCCCCATGTTCCTTCTCTCTCGATTTGACTGCCTACACAGGCAGAACGACGTGGGGGCCACATTAAGAAACCCAGACCTAGTCATTATCTGCGATGTTCAGCCTGGAGTGTCAAATTGGACAATGAATGTCGTTCTTTGAACCTCTTGAATGACTAAAGTCAACTTTATATCCACGTCCATGGTTTTATTGCGTAGTCCGCTTGAACCTGTTCCACGTACTAGGTCTCCTGGGGCGGCGATTCTTTGGCACTCGGTTCTCCGAAGCGTACATGCTGAAGCGATTCGCTGGTTCGGCCATTCCTCGGCCTCCATTGCTCGTCGTCGGCGTGCCGGATACCGCGGTCGACCGGGTCGTCTGGCTCGTCGCCTGGGACTCGTTGTCCGAGCTGGGTCGCAATTTCGACAGGATAGCCGAGCACCTGCAGTGGGTGTCTTTGCCCTGAAACGTTAGAAGAAATGTTTAGTTGCAACTAAGCGTCACAGATGGCGCCATTGGTCAGACAGAGTTACAAATATCATGAATCCACGGGATTTCGACAGTTTTACATCGATCTTCTTAATCATTACTTTACTAAAATGGCATATGAACGCATCACGTCGTATAATTCTCAACATAGAGCATAAGAGACTTCAACATAAATATAAATGTCGGTAACGCGACGCGCCAGCATGTTACCACTTGAGTATTCAAAATGGAGTTCCCACCAAAAAGGGCACAGATGAATTTTAATTTATCGACGTCGATTAAAATTCTCATCGCCTTCCGTATCATCTTAAGTAATTCTTGATTAAGAATTCCAACTTGAATGTTGATGCAACCATCTCTTGGCGATGTACATACCAGGGGATGAACGTCAGCATCTCCGGACCCGAAGTGGTCGTCGCCGAGATGAACCTTGTTACAGATCTCCTTCAGGTCTATTACAATTTGTAGGATTTCCTTGAGCTTCCCGGGATAGCCCTGCAGGACGCAGCTGGGTATGTGCCTGCAATTAGAGACAAACCGATGCAAGTGGATAGAAATATTTACTCGGTACTTCCACTTCGACACCAAATACGTCTAACTTCCATGTTACTTTTATACTGCATAACACATTAGCTTCGAAAACGTAATATTTACCTAACAGTGTTCAGTGGGGGTGTGTGGGGATGATGTAATAAGTAAGAGTATTACGTTGATGGTATTTTGTCCCTACCTACAATAGGCCTTCAGCCCGTTAAGTGCGAGTCTGATTTATTGTATAATACCTAACTATTGCCAAGTGCCACAAAATAATAAAAAATAAAAAATGACATCATTTGTTATAAAATTGCATTATTTTTTATTAAATGTTTGAGAAAATAATTTTATTCTAAGGTAACTAAACTTATAACATTAATATAACATGTTACATAACATGTTACATAACATGTCACCTTATTGAGTGTAAAATAATAACAAACATCTAACTTCCATGTTACTTTTATGCTGCATAACCCATTAGCTTCGAAGACGTAACATTTACCTAACAATTATATAACAGTGTTCAGTGGGGGTGTGTGGGGATGATGTAATAAGTAAGAGTATTACGTTGATGGTATTTTGTCCCTACCTACAATAGGCCTTGAGCGCGTTAAGTGAGAGCTGATGGGCAGCGATCAGCTTCTGCTCGATGGCTTGGGTGTGCAGAGAGACGACCCTCCTGGTTGGTTTTATCCTAGCATTCGGTGAAACCGCTCTCACATGACGACGAATATCTGCAAGCTGTCGACCGAGGTCGTACAGATAATTCCTGGAGAACCTAATCGCGAATTCGGTCACTCCTCGCTGTCTCCTGCGCAGATCTCCCTCGCCATCCGGCAGAGGGATCCGGTTCAGCCTGAAGGAGATCTCGTCTAGGATTTCGGAGATCCTCCTTTGAATGGTCAGGATCCTGTGCCCTACCCCAGGGTCTGGTCCGATGAATTTGGAATCCGAGTTTATGTCCACCCGTTCCGGACTCAGCTCCGGACTAGAGTTGTACTCCGGGTCGATCGTTGCTCTTCGACTTCTTCCAAAGTTGGATCTTTGTTGCGTTATCCTGTGATCCGAGGACGATATGCGGCCGTTGGTCTTAATTCCCTGTTTCGAATCTTGCAACTTCTCATAGCTGGGCTGAACGTTCTCCTCTTCGGGTATTGAGAGCAGAATGTTTGTGCTCCCGGTACCGTTGTCTCTCGTCGATGGCACTACCTGACAGGATTGAGCTGATTTAAATCATTTCATTAAAGTCACAATTAAAATAATCCAAAGATTTTAAGCTTTCGTCGACAACAGAGTTGTTCCTTAAATGGGAGTGAGCCGCGTCCATTGTCGCTGGAGGGCCGATGTTTCGCAAACGTTCCTATTCGCTTCATCAGGACAGACACTGATGTAATGGGTCCTCGTTCTTGGGGAGTCCCTTCTTATAGAGTTGAGGTGCATCCTGATTGGTCGTTCGGGTTGCCGGGTGGCAGGGGCCGCCCAATCCGGAGTCGCTAGATGGGGGGGTCGACCAATCCATTTTTCAGGAATTTTATTGACCAAATAAATTGTTTAAAAGCCGGGAGAAGAGTGTTCCAAATGGGATTCATTTGATATCCTCTGTCGCGATTTATGTTGTTATAACACCCGGAACACTCGGCAATAATAGAACACCATATGGAGACTAGCCACAAAATTCTATTCGAAAACACATAAATCATAGCCAACTTCTCCAACTTTTTCTCCAGAAAACGTAGAGTCAATAGAAATAAAAGAAAAAAGAAAAACCCACAACATAAATCGCGAAAGAGGATTTAAAGTGAATTCCATTTGAAACACTCTTCTCTCGGTTTTTTAAAAATTTGTTTGGCCAATCAAATTTCTCAAAACCTGATTGGTCGACCCCCCACCTGGCGACCCCGGATTGGGCGGCCCCTCCATACTAGGCAACCCGAACGGCCAATCAGGATGCACCTCAACCCTATAAGAAGGGACTTCCCAATAACTTCCCATTATTAAAGGTTTGAAAAATTAATATTATTTTAAGGCAACTGAACTTATAACATTGATCTAACATGTTACATAACATGTTACCTTATTGAGTGGGAAATAATAACAAATATCTAACTTCGATGCTTTTATGCTACGTAACACGTTAGCATCGAAAATGTAACATTTACCTAACAGTTATATTAGAGTGTTTTGTGGGTATGGATTTGTACTCGTTATTTATATTATTTCTGACAAATAATTGAAAAATTTGGCTCCGCAAGGAAAGTTATATTTTCGGAAGGCCATGTTTTCACCCATTCAAGTTATTCAAAGTACATCCTGTGTATTTTGAGTGCGAACTTAACATTTTTGCATGCAAAGGTTCTCCGTTTCCTGTTCTCGCAAGTGTAAAAACGCACACAGAGAAAATGTACCATTCCCCCTTAATGCTAGTGTTTATATGGAATACTGAAATAATTAATATTCTTTAAATATTTCAAGAAAAAAAACCTCTGACGTATACAAAACACCAGAAAATATTATTTTCAAATAAACGAAAACATATTAAACATAGTTTAACTATTCTCACATTTACACAGAAATACTAATTTCGATGGTCTTTTGATTTCTCAGTTCATATCAGTAATATTTATATGCACATGTATTAAGAAAACATTCTTTCTACATTTGCAGACGATTACAGTGCACAAAATTGGAAATATCAGATTATCACTCATATGTTCTCTATTCGCAGGAGTAAACTTATGAAAGTTTTTTTAGTAATATTAAATAAACCTCATATTTGACATGAAAGATTCATTTGAATAATTAAAATATTTTTAAAAGATCGTAATTTTGAAATCAACGATTTTTTATTTCAAAATTAATCACTCTTATTTTCTTTTCAAGCAATCATTATTTTTATCAATCGTCTTACCTGATGCTTTTGGGTGGCAGCCAGTTTCTCCGTCTGCGAAACATCAAGAGCTGGAGTCATACGATTCAACGGTTCAACTACGATAAAGAGAATCAAAAAGTATTAAAGTTACTTGTTCCCGAGATCGTTTCTTTCCGCTTGAATACGTCGCACCATAAGCTCTCTTACTTCTCTCTGGAAGGGCATCTTCCTCTAATCTTTTCAGTTCCCTGTCAGCTTCCTCGATACTATCCGTTAAAAGGTCCTTCATACCTTGCGTCAAATGATCCAACTCGTTTCTATTCGCCTCTTCGAGTTCCCGTCGTTCGACAAAAGATGCCCAAGTTCGCTCTTCGTCCAGCTTCGCCCGGCGCCTTCTTACAGCTTTTACGATACCCCTAAACTGATTCGCAGGTACATACTGCAACAAAGGAAGGTAAACCGTTCATCGATGTGCAAAACAATGCTTAGCAAAAGACTAGGGATCCATTTACCTTGAAATTAAAGTCATCCTCGTCATCGTTCTCGGAAAGCAGCAACTCGTCCCGATCCTTATTATTCAAAAAGTCTATTTCTGCAGACCTCAGGAGGAATGACATTTCTTTTGAGGTTAGGTTCGAACCTTGTCGCCTAGGTGAACTCGTTCTCCGTGGTCATTCGCAGCCGGCCGTTCTAATGGTAAAAGCAGAGTAGAAAAGGAGGTGTACAAATGTATGAAAAACCCGCGCGACAGAGGCAAACGCGAACAAGAACGGGCGGCCAACGAGAACCCGGAAAACCTGGAAGGAACTTGCGCTCGATGACAGTTCGAAAGCCGGTGAATGGGTAAACAAACAGAACGACAGTGGCGCCATTTGCGGCGCTCTCCTAAAACTCGTCGCTAATCTCAACCTGATAATCGAAAGGTTCGTTCGCGTTGACTGTAGTGTTCGAAAATTCTCGGTAACATAAAATTGGAGAAGGTAACTGTGAAACCTACCGTAAGTTACCGGGAACATTGAGAATTTAAGAGAACATTAATTTTGTTATTTATACTTTAGGTTTCTTCGTTTAAATAAATTTTTTTGTTTCAATCAACTTCAAAGTTCAAGCTAAAGAGTAATAATTACTATTAGAAAATATTGATTATAGGGTCGTATTTACCTCCAGCTAGAAATATTCACGTATGTACAACTTCACGGAAAATTCCATGCGATTTGTTTCAAACGAACTGATATTTTATTCTGCGAAGAAGCGAATGGGAGGTTTTGATTGGCTACGGAGATCGTACAACGGAAATTCCCCTCTACGATGTTTCTCTATAGCTAATCGAAACCTCTCGTTCGCTCTGTTGAAAAATTCAAATTCTCATAATTTCTCGATAAAAAAGGTTTTGGAGAAATTACCGATAAATTACCGGGAATTTCTCTTCGTTTCTGACGTAACTTACTGGATTTAGAACTCTAGTGATCTCGTTCTTTCATATAGCGAATACGTAATCCGGCGAATACACCCACGTGAGATGCAAATGCGAAAAGTGAACGCGCTCGTCAAAGATACGTAATAAACGCCCAGACCCGATAAATCCCGGATTTAGAGTGCGATGGAAACGAGGTCATCTATTTCCTCGAGTTTCCCATCTTTTCTCACCACCGCCGAGTCATATTCTTCCTGTGCTCCGGCGATTTCGGGAGTGCTGAGTAATTTTTTCGGAATTTCTCGACTCGCACCCGATTCGCATCAAATCTGTCTCCTCAGGCAGTGAAAAGCGACGGCTACGTCGAATCTGATCAAATCCAGGGAGCGTCGAGGGGCGCGCGAGGAGGACCTCCGCGCGTCCAGCTCTGACGTTGACGAGCGCCAGTCATCCGATCCACTCCGGTCGACCTCGGGACGAGAAAAGCCTCCGATAACGGGCCGATTGCCGTCGGGGCGAGCGCGACCGAGCGCGGCCCGAGCGATCCGGAGTCATCATGCGCGGACTCGCTTTGAGGTTAAGTCGACCTCCGGTGAATCTCCTGGGCAAATGATCGCCGACCCGCGCCTTCGCTTCGTCTGACGGATTCGAGAGGAACCAGAGAAGGCTCAGGGTAATTCGCCATGGCCGACATCGCCCTGGGGGAGCTCAGCGGGGACCAGACGGAAAAAGTCCTGCAGTTTCAAGTAGGTATTCTTTGTAAGACTGCAGGAACGAAACCAGATAAGATATGTATTAACCAACGTGTCTTGATCAGTTGAATGTAGTGGGACCACTCGCAGGTGGTGCAGATTCACTCTGGGGTAGTTTAGGTTAGGAATACCGATCGAAACTTCCTTAGTTCAAAAACTCCAAAAAATGTAGATACATTCATTTCTGGAGGAGCGCAGAGGGGAACAGATGGAAAAAATCTGTCAGTTTCAAGTAGGTATTCTTCGTAAGACTGCAGGAACAAAATCAAACAAGATATGTATTAACCAACGTGTCTTAACTAGCTGAATTTAGCGGGGCCACTCGCAGATGGTATAGATTCACTCTGGGGTAGTTTAGGTTAGGAATACCGATCGAAACTTCCTTAGTTCAAAAACTCCAAAAAATGTAAATACATTAATTTCTGGAGCAGCGCAGAGGGGACCAGATGGAAAAAATCTGTCAGTTTCAAGTAGGCTTTCTTCGTAAGACTGCAGGAACAAAGCCAAACAAGATATGTATTAATCGACATATCTTAACTAGCTGAATTTAGCGGGACCACTCGCAGATGGTACAGATTCACTCTGGGGTAGTTTAGGTTAGGAATACCGATCGAAACATCCTTAGTCCAAGAACTCTAAAAAATATAACCATATTCATGCTTCTTGAGCCGCATGCAGTGGAAACATTGACAACGTCTGTGTCGTACTCAAAATTTAGGATTTATCCAATTCAAACCCTAAATTCGAATTTAATTGTTGACCGAGAGACTCGGAAACGAATCTGTGTATTTATTAATGCGATGAAGACATGCGATTTGATCCAGACCTGTTAAATCCTGGATTTACGAGTGCAATGGAGATTTGTTTATTCATAGATATTGCAAATTTAGTTCTTAGGTTAGGTTAGGAATGTTTTTGTCAAATAATTTCCAATGAAAACCTAACAAAATACGTTTGTTATGTGTCTCAAATAATTGAAATCGGTAATATCACTTCGAATGATAGAAATTGAGTCTCTAGATTAAATTAGGGATACCATTATCAAAACGGCTCTTATTCAATGCCTGGAAACCTTTATAATCATTTATGCATCTTGACGAACTGATTTCAGAAATGTTATTCACAAAGATGGAAATTCAGTTTGTAGGTTAGGTTAGGACTGCTATTAGCAAAGTGTTCTTAATTCAGTAACCAAAAGACTATGTTTAATTCAACGCATTCTAAATTGAATTAAATGGTATTCACAAACAGCACGTGATGAATTCAATCACATAATTCCATAAAAATACAGTAGGCAAGTTAGAAAAGTTCACTTTGAATAACCTTACAGTATAGGTAACATTCTGCACCTAGCGATAAGTAAATCAAACGGTAACCTCAAACAAACTAATTCAGTTCCACCGTAACTTCTTAACTTAACGTAAGAACTAAACCTGCACCATTTGTGAGTGATATTGAATTTAGCTAATCAATTTAATTTACTTAAGGGCAGATGTCAATTCATGCAGATTTTATTAGGCTGCCTGGAAAGTTCGTTCCGAGTTTTAAGTCCTAATGCCACATACCGAAAATCAACATGAAAGTTCCGAAACCCAATATATAGTTTTAGGTCGAGAACGTTTTGTGGTTAAGCTCTTTCATCTTTTTTAACCTTTACCAAAGTGGACTGATTTACAAATGTCTTTACGTTTCCTAGGATTTGACCCGTATCGAAGATCTCTCCGTGTGTCGAGATGTTCTACAACGACACAACTGGAATCTGGAAGTCGCCGTCCAGGTATGTCGAGGAATAATCCACGTACCTTTAAGGTAGTTGCTTTGGGATGTCATACCTTGTATATGATAAAGACATTTAATCTTCATAATAAGATTTCCATTAACACATTCAGTGCCGAAACAAATTATGAGTACGCCGTCGTAAACCGAGCATATGGCAAGGAATGTTGTAAAATGTCTTGGTTGCATTATCATGCTTGTTTAATACACTATTTAACTGCACATTTTTCCTCTTCTCGTTGCCTCTCACTTAGTAAAAACAAGTAGCAAGTAATGCTTCATTTAATGACACTCTGTTTCGCTATTTAGGAGCAGCTTAATTTCTACGAAGGACGACCTTCAATGTACGCGCAAGACTCGCGTGCACGACCTCCACAAGTCGTCGATGAAAGCAGCTCGAGAATTTACTTTGGCCCTCCCGGTGGATCCGGAAGTGGCGGTGGATTCTTTTCGTACACTATTTCCTTGTGCTACAACCTTGTTGCTAGCATTATACAATTACTTTTTGCCATATTTGGAACAAACGCCAGACCAGGTGAGTCACAATTAACACTATACTTTTAAAGTACAGTTAAGGTGAAGTGAAAACAGGTCGAGAAATTTGATCAACATCGATAAAAAAGATTCTTTTAAGTACCTACGTTGCCGACGTTCGTATTTATATTGACAGCTGTGCCGAATTATATTGGGCATTGTCTCAAATGGCATACTCTACATGTCGTTTACATACAATAATTATGAAGAAATCTAAGTAAAACACCAGAAATCTCCTGGATTTATGGTTTTTAATGCCCTAATTAATTGCAGAGGGCCATCCTGCGCCATCTGTTATCTCAATGGCAACTAAATTTTCTCTCCGAGACCTCGTATTACCTTCGTTTTAGCAAAGAAGCGTATAAGACACTATTTTTGCATTTATCCCGTTTAAATACCAGTTTCTAGATTACTAGAATGTTCTAAATCGTTGTACAATTCTCCTGACACTTTCGTTTCTCATATCGGAACCTTCAATAATTGTATATTGATCGAAATACGAGAGCCCGATGCCATTATGGTTCTGATCTAGGCTAAGTCAACCATATTTTTCTAAAATCCAAGTTTTGAAAGTGTCAGGATAATTCTTAGGTGCTCAAGAGTCATGTGCCAAAGTTCCAGAGAGATCGGTTCAATACCCTTAAAAAAACTCGAATCGACTAATTTGAGGGGGCTTTCGTATAACCTTAAAATGATTGAAAGCTTGTACGGGTCTTTATTCCCAAACCTTTATTTTATGTTATTAAGATGATATGAAAGGCACTGAGAAATTTAACCGAGGTCGATGAATTAAAATTCAACTATACCTTTTTTTGTGGTAACGTCATTTTGAATACTCAAGTGGGAACATAAGCTGACATGTCACGTTATCGACATTTATATTTATGTTGAAGTCTTTTACAGTCTATGTTGAGAATTATACTAACTGAAGCGTACCACTTGTCATTTCAGTAAAGTAATGATAAAAACATCAATGTAAAATTCGAAATCCCACGAATTCATGACTGTTTATGGTTCGATGAACCAACGTCACCATCTGTGATGTTTAGCTGCAACTAAATTTTTATTCTAAAAACATTAGCCACGAAACATGCCAGCTTTCTCTTGCAATCGTTGGTGAAAGTATTTTCCATATTTTCCCATCTGACTTTGTAATATTCCATTTGTATAGTATTTTAAATTGTTCGAGCTAGGTCCTGAAACTCTTAATTTTCTATTCTAAGCATCCAAGAAACATAAAACATCGAAAACGTGTCCGAACCACGCCATGTTGGTTCTAGTCTATGATAAATAAATTCATTTGTTATCAATAATGAAATCTCATGAGTTTCAGGTCCTACCTTAGCGCCTTCACATTCACGTGGCAAAATATGAAACAAATCGGTATATCCATTTTGGAGAATAATTTCACCGACGATTTGACTTCTCAGATGTATATAGCTGGACCCTTTCAGATCACCTCAAACGTGTGACTACATTTATATTAATTTATTTCTCTCAATGTTTTAAGTATCTTCCGATCCTGTGGAGGATGTAGTCAACTTTATCAGACTGTACGAGGAGCGTTGTAGTGATAGCCATCCGGTCTTCTACCAAGGCTCGTACAGCCAAGCCCTTTCGGATGCGAAACAGGAGCTGAGATTTCTGTTGGTTTATTTACACAAGGACGAATCCCCCGAAATCGATCGGTGGTGCAGGTAATTTCAACCGATGCAGTAACTGTAGTCGTAGCTTCAATCGATGCACTCTGTCATTTCAAATCTAATCCTGACTTGAGATTAACCGATACCACCAAACCAAGTCAATACTTTTACTTATAAGTTGCATCGAAAAGAAGTATCGATGTATATTCAGTACTGCAAAAAAGGATATGAATACTTTCCTTATTACTTGTATCGAATAAAAAGTATGGACACAGAGTTAGTATTGAAAACATACTATCGATACATATTCAGTATTACAAAAACAGATATCAATACTTTTACTTATTACTTGTATTGAATAAAAAATATGGATACATACTTAGCATTGAAAAGAAGTATCGGTACATATTCAATGCTGCAAAAAAAGATGTGAATACTTTTGGTTATTACTTGTATCGAAAAAAAGTATGAACGCACACTTAGTATTGGAAAGAAGTATCGATACATATTCAGTATTGCAATAACAGATATCAATACTTTTACTTATTACTTGGATCAAATAAAAATTATGAATGCACACAGTATTGAAAAGATACTATCGATACTTTTACATATTACTTCCACCGAAACCAAAGTATTGTTACCTACTCGAATCGAATCGACGTGCACAAGCATACAGACCAAGCTTATTTTCTATAGAGGGCATGTATTATGTAATACAGGAGAAAAATACCATTTGGGAAAGGATTTCTTTGATAATCAAAATATATTTTTATTATACGTTCAGCGTTTGAGGGGATACAAAATAAAAATTCATAAAAAAATGTATCCACCTCATTCGATTCAACATGAAGAGTTATCACCGATGCCAAGCAAATACCTAGGCTAAGGGTATCGATGACAAAAGTACTTAGTATCGAAATGAAAGTCTCGAGTATTTACTTCTATTAGTTTATCCGTAGTGCACCTGACATGAATGATCAAAAGTACTCGTAAGAATAAGATAGTTCAATGCTTCTGCTCTTCGATTGGAAAGAGGAATTCTGTCATATGACTCGAAGGAAAGAATAAATCATCGTGTTGCTTGTCCCCTGATTATAATCTAATGATAGTGATGTTTCCATTGTATCGTTAACAGGACAACTCTGGGAGACCCTGACGTTGTACGATACGTAAATACGCACACGTTGTTTTGGGCTTGCAATACACACTCCGGAGAAGGCTATAAGGTATCGGAGGCCCTCAAGTCTGGTACATACCCTTTCTTGGCTGTAATCGTCCTTAAGGACAACCGAATGACTATTGTTGGGCGGTGAGTAACCTATTACCAAAGGATACCTATTTAAGATGATATGAAAGGCGCTGAGAAATTTAATCGGCGTCGATAAATTAAAGTTCATCTGTACCCTTTTTGGTGGTAACGTCATTTTGAATACACAAGTGGGAACATAAACTGGCGCGTCCCGTTACCGACATTTATATTTATGTTGGTCTTTTACAGTCTATGTTGAAAATTATACGAAATGAAGCGTTCCATATGTTATTTCAGTAACGTAACGATAAAAACTTCGATGTAAAACTGTCGAAATCCCGTGTATTCATGACTTTATATTTTGACGAACCAACGCCGCCATCTGTGACGTTTAACTGCAACTAAATTTTTCCTCTAAAAGCATCTTTACCGACATTTATATTTATGTTGATGTGTTTTACAATCTACGTTGAGAATTATACGAAATGCAGCATTCCATATGTCATTTCGGTGAAGTAATGATAAAGAGATAGCGATAAAACTGTCGAAATCCCGTGTATTCATGACTTTATATTTTGACGAACCAACGTCGCCATCTGTGGCGTTTAGCTGCAACTAAATTTTTCTTTTGAAAGCACTGTTACCGACATTTATATTTATGTTGAAGTCTTTTACAATCTACGTTGAGAATTATATAAAATGAAGCGTTCTGTGTGTTATTTCAGTAAAGTAACGAGGAATAGAACTGGAAAAGACGTGAATTCACGTCAGCGGTCGCGAACGTGTTAACAGCAGTTCTACCGCATGCATATTTATTAATAAGGGCATTTGTTTGACCAGAATGGAGGGCACGCCGTCGCCGACCGAGCTGCTCTCCCGGCTACGGGCGATCGTCGACAGCAACGAGATGGGCCTCATCCAGGTCCGACAAGAGAGGTAAACTCGGATTCGGGGGAATGGAGAGGGAGAGACAGAGCGACGGTGATTTGGAGATAATGGAGTAATCACGTTACAGGGCGGAGCGTAGCGCGGCTCAGTCGTTGCGCCAGCAGCAGGACCGGGCGTACGAAGAGTCGCTGCGCGCCGACCAGGAGAAGGACCGCCGCCGCGCGGAGGAGCGACGAGCGCTAGAGGAGCGCGCCGCGCGGGAGCGGGAGGAACTAGACGCTCAGGAGATGGAGGTGGAGCGCGTCAGGCTGGCCAAACGCCGGGCCGAGGGGCAGGTGCCGGTCGAGCCGGGCCCGGACCACCCTAAGGCCTGCCACCTACAGATCAAGGTCGGCGAGAGGACCCTCAAGAGGCGATTCCTCCTCTCGGACACGATCGAGGTAACCGACAACCTCTTCCGAAGGCACATGATCTAGCGACGTGGCGGGTCGAGTACTTTACCAACTTGAGTTAAGGGGATGTGAAAGTGGCCTCCGAAAGGTCAATCGTTCATGAATCTTTTCAACTGAGGGTATCAAGTCGTTTTTGGGCTGGGCTCCCATCCGCTTTAGCTTGGAACTCTCGCCAACCCACGCTGGAGCATTGCGTCTCAGCTGGGGCCTTGCACGAATGCTCGCACCACGCGGGTGCAGGGGAGGGACGAGGTTCCCCGCGGGCAACGGATGGGGTCAAGCGGCCTCCCTTCGGGGAGTGCGTCGCGGAGGCCCCGACCCGGCTAGCTCGTCCCTGGGGTTTGACGATCGGTTCGGAGCATTCGGGTTTTTCCAGTCCGTCTTGGGCTTCCGGGCCCCCTTGGTAGTGTGGGCGCTGGAGGTAGATGGTTGTCTAACCCCCCAGAAATGGGGGGGCCGGTAGGGAGCCATTTTGGCTCCAAATACGGTGGGCCGCAAGGCCTATAGCGCACTTGTATCAAACCGTTTCCAACTTCATAACGTGAATATAGAGGCTATAAGGAAGGTCCTGACACTCGTGAAACTTCATTTTTTATTAAAAAAAAAACGGTTAAAAATACCTATGAACAAATTTAAAAAAAAAATTGAAATTTCATGGAGGTCAGGACCTTCGCTAAAGCTTCCACGTTCACGTTGTGAAGTTTGAAACGATTCGGTGCATCCAGTTTGGAGAAAAGGTTCATAAACGCGATGTCTTTGGCGCCACTTTCACATCTCCTTAAATTAGGGTGGGGTCCATGTAATCTAAGTCCATGGTCCAATTGGGATTCACTTAGTTCTCGAATGACCACAGATTTCTATACATAAACCTAGATCGCTAACAGTTGCTGTATGGACTGGAGAAAAATGTGCTAGTCTCCTTGCCACTTTACCTCATTTATGGTTCCATCAGTTACCGTTTGGGGGCGCTGACTCGTACATTTTATAGGGATATTCTAGTCGAGTCGCGCTTCCCGCCCCCCGATGGTAAGATGGGAAGGACACGGGATTCTGTACGTCAATTTGACAGCTGTCAATATAGTTAATCTATTGAAAGAACACGGTTAACGATATCGAGAAATTCGGAATTGGCGTATAGAATCTTGCTACAAGCCAGTCGAAATACTCCAGGCCTGTTTTTTTTTAATTCTCGAGATTCTTATTTCGAGTAATATAACTGAGAATGTTACCCAATCTGAAGATCCCTAGAGAATTTAAAAGAATTGAAGAGAATTCTGAGAATTTGTATGTAAATTAATTTATTACTTTTAATTCGTAATATTCATAAAGTCAAGGTACTTATTAGCCGAAAATAGTGTCCCATTAATTTGCGATGATTTTCTATTTCTGCAGTTTGTCTTGCCACTCTTAATAATCTCAAGATAAACAAAAGTTTAGGGAGTTAGGTCAACCGATTAACTGTGACTTGTCCAATTATTGGAAGTTCAGGAATTCTGGTATTGAAAGTTTATTTTTACAATTTAATAAACAACACTTTTGCGGCATTTTCTTTGTTATTTAATTCGTGAAAACGATAAATGTTACGTGTCATCGTGTGACATCTGCACTTCCGCGAGTTTGACTTAACGCGTCAAATTACAAACTCCTCCCCTGCCCTCTTGCGGCGTTAAAAGGAAACCGAAATGAGGTAAACCGGAAAAGCCCTTGAACACATTTGAACTCCCACTGTTAGCGACCTAGGTCGATGTACAGAAATCTGTGCGAATGACCAACTTCCATAATCCATTCTCGTTCTCTCCCAGGACGTCTACCACTGGATCTTCAGCCAGCCGGACTCGCCGGCCAACTTCGAGATCACCACCACCTTCCCGAAGCGGGTCCTGTACCCCGGGGAAGAGGTGCAGACCCTGGTGCAGGCCGGACTCACTTGCAGGGAGGCCCTCCACGTGAACGACTTGGACGATTAATCCGTGACGAGTGGCGACAGACTCCTCCTCTCGGTTAGGCTAGGTTCGTCGCCCCGGAAGCGGACGAGGCCCGCGGCTCGCCTCGCTTCTCCAGGGAGCAACGACATTATCGCGACGTCTCCTCGGCACGAGTCGACGCCGAAGTTCCGTCGAGGCTTCTGATCGAAATCCGGGAAAGAGGGAAACCCCTCCTCGAGGTCGAGAACACCCTAGTGAAGGAAGGACGCTTAAATATCTCATATAGGTCATATAGGTCCTTACTCGTATCTCACTTTTAGCGTTAAAAGACGTATTTTAGAGCACTGTTAAAAGCGACCCTACTCGTGTCTCGCTTTTCAACCACTTTTGTAGAAGATCCTTAAAAGAAGCCGTAAAAGATGTATTTTAGCAGCAATACCTCCTCATACACCCTTTTAAGCTTCCTTTGTTGTCTTTTAAGCTTTTAGGATAAAAGCGAGCGACGATTCCCTAAAAGTGGGTAGGGGGACTTTTGAGCCGCTTTTAGTTATCAAAGTTATACATCAATTTTTGACAGCTTTTAGTTGTCAAAATCTTACATGAAAAATGGAATGCGTTGACGACATTTTTCACGGAGCAAAAGCTCGCGAAGGGAGTACAGGGCATCGAATAAATACCAGGGACTTTTCAAGTCCATTTTTGTAACAAAGTTCAGCATACTGAACTGTTGGCACATAAAAAACGCACGTGCTGGGCACGCGGAACGCAGTCGTCACGTTTTTCCGACGTTTTGTTGTATTACATTTCGTGAAAGCGGTCGTAAAAGAAGGTACGAGGATGGCGTCTTTTAACAGCGGTCCGATCATCTTTAACTAAGAGACTTTTAAAAGCGCTGCTAAATGTGAGATATGAGTAAGGGACATAGTAGACTGAAACGCTTACTGGCATAGCCCGCTTTTGTACAGTGGAATTACGAATTAAGTTTGGCATAACCACTGCACGATGCCAATTGGGAATGATACTAAATTTTCCTTTTGGGCGGTACAAACGCTGCGCACATATTGTTTAATTTGGGAGTGGAACTGCGACGAAGAGCCATCCATCGTTTCATTATTCTCGGCACTGATCTATATACTAACTGGATAACTGATACCTATTTGTTCTATGTGGAAAAGACTTTGCCAAATTCGAGGCACCCCAGCGCCAACTACGTAGGGGCAGCGATACTAAAGAAGTAACGTGTGCGCATGTGCGAAAGTTTTGAACTGCCAGTCCACTGATCCGTAGATGAACTGAATAACTGATACTTATTTGTTCTATACGAAGATAACTTCGAAATTTGTTTATTTGTTCTTTACGGAACAGACTTTGCCGAATTCGAGGCACCCCAGCGCCAACTACGTAGGGGCAGCGATACTAAAGAAGTAACGTGTGCGCATGTGCGAAAATTTTGAACTGTCTCTTCACTGATCTATAGATGAACTGAATAACTAATTCCTAATTGTTCTATACGGAAAAGACTGCCGAATTCGAGGCATACCAGCGCCACCTACGTAAGAACAGCGATACTAAAGAAGTAACGTGTGCGCATGTGCGAAAGTTTTGAACAGTCAATCCACTGATCCGTAGTGAACTGAATAGCTGATACTTGTTTGTTTTATACGAAGATAACTTCGAAAACTGATTTATATACTAACTGGATAGCTGATACCTATTTGTTCTTTACGGAAAAGACTTTACCGAATTCGAGGCACCCCAGCACCCGGCCGATTCAGCTTTGCCAGACCTTTACCGTTTTTAAGTCCTACATATACCGTTCTATCCTTCGATTCAGTTCAAAAGTAGTATGGAAAAATACCTTTATCAATTAACGGTGATTTATTTTGTGTTTTAGTTCATGAAGCGTCATTAATTTAGCGGAAAACTCGCCTTCACGCGATTTCCTCACATAGCGCCAAAATTCAATATGGCCGATTCAGCTTTCCCAGACCTTTAACATTTTTAAGTCCTACATATACCATTCTATCCTTCGATTCAATTCAAAAGTAGTTTGGAAAAATATGTTTATCAATTAACGGTGATTTATTTTGTGTTTTAGTTCATGAAGCGTCATTAATTTAGCGGAAAACTCGCCTTTACGCGATTTCCTCACATGGCGCCAAAATTCAATATGGCCGATTCAGCTTTCCCAGACCTTTAACGTGTTTAAGTCCTACATATACCGTTCTATCCTTCGATTCAGTTCAAAGGTAGTTTGGAAAAATATGTTTATCAATTAACGGTGATTTATTTTGTCTTTTAGTTCATGAAGTATCATTAATTTAGCGAAAAACTCGCCTTCACGCGATTTCCTCGCGTCTGACGCAAAATTCAATATGGCCGACTTAGCTTTCCCAGGCCCTTAAGGTTTGTCAGCGTCGACTTGACATACACAGACATTTGTCGAGATAACGACGTCGAAGAAGACTCGTCGGATCTCGGAAAATAACAAAATAAACGGCTTCCCGACTCGCCGGTGGTCAGGCTATAAGAGAAAGAAAGAGAGGAGGAGGAACTATGACTAATTAACTTTACGCGGGTGTAAAAAAAATCTTTGTAAATGTCTCCTTATCCGAGTAACCTTTGCGAACCCACAGTAGCGGAGGATTTGTCAAATAAAGTGATTCTTGTGGTCAAAACACGTCTCGAGATTTATGAATCTACTGGGTTGGTGCATAATTAATGTCACAGAGCAAAGTAAATAAAAAATAACAAATCGTAGAATTAATAATGCGTCAACCGAATACTAGGGAGTTGATTCGACTGAAAATGTCATGAAAAAGGGGAGAGAGTAAGAGACACAGAATGCCGGGCCTTGATAAAAATTTCATACTTCACGTATAAAAATAAAGACATCGTTAAATTCTATTCCTGATTGCCGTTGACGTGAATAACGTCCATAACAATACACGGACAAGTTTGCGGCAACCAGTTTCAGAATTCACGATTACTGAAGCCCTAATTGCCTGCAAAGTGACACCCTGCGCCATCTGTGATTTCCGTGTCAACTAAATTTTTACTCCAAGACCTCGTATTACCTTCGTTTTAGCATAGAAGCGCATACGACACTTTTTTTGCATTTACCCCGTTCAAATGCTAGTTTCTCAATTACCTAAGTGTTCTAAATTATCGTGCAATTGTCCTGACACTTTCGTTTCTAATATTAGAGTCTTCAATAATTGGATATCGATCGAAATATTAGAGCTCGATGCCATTTTGGTTCTGGGCTAGACTAAGTTAAACGTCTTTTTTTTTTTTAATCCAATTTTTGAAAGTGTTAGGATAATTCCTAGGTGCTCACGAGTCATGTGTCAAAGTCTCAGACAGTTCTATTCGATAAATTAAAAAAAAAAGTGTGTTATTAGAATCAAGTGATTTGAGGAGAGTTTCATTTTCACGCCTTACCGTCCTCCTTATAATCAAAAGTGACCTGTGACTTGAAAAGATTACTTTTCCATTTACTAAACTCACTGACATAGGCTATCACCTTTTCAATTGTTTCGATGCTGTCAAAACAGAGCGAAGCCTTCGGAGAGATCTTGGTGACCGGATAGAGGAAGCTGTTAACAGAAGAGGTGTTCGGGATGAAAGAGGATTAAAATTAGTCGAATACTAATTTATTAGTTATCCAGTATATTAAATTAACTGCTTTCCTTCCATTTTGTTTCCTTCGAGAAGACAATAGCACTGATCCACACCCTTGCTCTGTCGGTTAGCGAACACTTTACAAAATCGATCCAAGGTTCGGACAGTTCGATGTCTCCATTTAGTAATTTACAATTTAAACGTCGATCCGACGACTTTGACCGTTTCCAGACGAGCTATTACAAAATATACCCTATTACGTGGTAGCTTTCATTTCCAGACGTTCCGAAGTTTCGTGATTTCTCGTAGTATGTATGTACACGTGTGTCTCATAAAATAGGTTAGGTTATCTTCTTCGGTGAGTCTATACAAATCGGATATGGATTTGCATCGGTATGAAATCTACATATGTCTTCTCGGCGAATATACGTACATTTACATGGTAATACTTAGAGAATCGTGCGCATTCGTGCAACTGTTTTTGTGCTCCTGTTTGGGAATATCACTTTGTAGACGCCTCTGCTTTCCTGGAGACTCTTCGCTCTTCCGCGAGAGGGCCAATACACCTTCTCGCTCTTCGTTTCAAGTAAATCATCGTCCGGGAGATATGAAACATCGAAAGAAAGGGTAAAACGATTCAAGCTGTCGACGAAGAAACCAAATCGATACTTCCTTTTGGGCTTTGGCATCATTCGGAGTATCGGTGCTTAGAGAAGATCGCACTTCCCTGCGCGTCTTTGCTTTCTTCGGTTCTTCTCCAACTCTGCTGGCGGTTGATTCCGAATTATACGTACCACCTGAAGGAACGAATTTAAAAAATCTTACCATTCAAATGAAACTTCTTAAGATGATACGAAAGGTGCTGAGAAATTTAATCAACGTCGATAAATTAAAATTCATCTACATCCTTTTTGGTGGTAACGTATAGCTGATAATATTGGACCAATATTGCACCACTATTTGTTGCTTAAGATTATATGAAAGAGTCATTCTATAAATATAAAACGTCAAAATGTTTATAAAACCTTTTTCCAAACTGAATACACCGAATCAATGGAAACTTCAGCGAATGATTACGGAGACTCAAAGAAAAAACATGGTGCTCATGAAATTTAATTTTTGATAAAAAAATTGTTTATTTAGCGAAGACTAGAACCAAGAATACATATTTTTTTTGTTAAATGAAATTTCATAAGCACCACGTTCTTCCTTAGGACCTCCATAATCAAGAGTTGGTTTCAAATGATTCGGTGCATCTAGTTTTGAGGAAAGTTTTATAAATATTTTTACATTTTATATGTATAAAATGACCCTTTCAAACCACCTTAAGAGGTTATAACAACACGCACCTCATGAAACGCGGCATCCACGTTCAAGGGGGGATCTTTGGCAGACGTTTCAACGTAGGGAACACCCAAACGGTGCGCCAGTTCCCTGCCCTGCTCTTCGGTGATCTTCCTGAGATGCACCAGGTCCACTTTGTTCGCAACGAGCAACATGGGGTAAACGTCGCGGTCCTTGACCCTCAGGATTTGAGTATAAAAGTTGACGATGTTCTCGTAGGACTGTTCATCGGTGACAGAGTAGACCAGCAGGAAGCCATCGCCCTTTCGCATGTACTGCTCTCGCATGGCACTGAACTCCTCCTGGCCAGCGGTGTCCAGCACTGGGGAAAGAAGCTCAATGAGTCCGCGAAGAAAGATAAAGAAGAATTCAAAGTGAAACCTCTGAGTTGAAGAGAAAAGACAAAGTTTAATTGCAGGGTAATCGTGTAATAAAAATAAGGAAACTTATTAAACATAAAATATAGTTTCATTATTAAATTATATACAGAATGTGATGTTTTTAATATGATAAAGACTAACGGACATGCTAGCTGATGATAATTTTTAATTGTAAAATATCATCGAGGCAGTCTTGGGAGTAGAGCAGAAAAATCTGAATATCTTGGACCCCTGAAGTAGAGACGATTTCAATGCATGGCGTTGTATCTTTGACTATAAAACTATGGACTACTAGTTGCCAGCTTCACGCAGGTTGCGCCACACAGATATCGTCGCCATCGAGAACCAGGAATTAATAATTTCACATACCTGCAGTTCTAATTTAAATTCACAATGAAATAGATTCGTATTTAATTAAAGAAAATGGACCACTACCTCTTGGTTGAATGCAATCTTAGCCCAAAATATCCGAGTAAAAATAGAGAGAAAGACGCAAACGTATCATTTTGACACAAGGGATTAATCAATCATATCGGATTAAGCGACATCTTATTTATAAACAACAAACTTTCCCTCTCCATGCATCACAAACCTTTGAAATGAATTTTCTTTAAATTATATCAAGAATTAAGTACACATACAATAGCATTTGAATAATTTCACAGCTATTCGATAAAATTATTTTCGTTATAAATTTGAGGACACCGGGCTATGAATTCAAGCGGAAATGCGTAGAGGTAAAGTTATTCCAAACATAGCTCGTCTTTTGGTATCTCTTTGACTTAAAGAACCAGCTGATCGAAGTACAGATAGCCCTCCTACAACACGGCATCCTATAACACAGTTTTGCTCTAACACGCTAGGACAAATTGCGGGAACCCTCGTATAGCCCTGTACCCTATAACACCGTTTTGCTCTAACACGATAAGAAAATTGCGAGAACCTTTGTACAACAACGTACTCCTACAGCACTGTATAACATGATTTTTAACATATTTAAAAACTAAATTACCTTAATATAATGACGGGAAAGAACAATAAACTACAGTGCCTTTACGTGAAAATATTTGTTTTTTTTCGCTTTGTGTTCTACATAAATTTATATTTTTAATAAAAATTAAGTTGCTTATATGGAATTAAAAAAAAAAAGTTTGTTTTTAACACGTTGAGTACCACGTGGTTTTATAACGACTTCCCAGTGAGGCCACGCACGCTGCGGACGGTTCAGTGTCACCGATGACTGACACGGCCTGAACGGAAAGTTCAGTGTCAGTCACCGGTGACCAACGTGGCACTCAACGTGTAAATAGGTTTTCGGAACGTAATCCCCCCTTTTGTCCTGGCTCCGAGTTTCATATAACACATTTTCTAGGAACCTATCTACCGTGTTATAGGAGGGTTACCTGTAATTATATTTGAATTTCCCTCCTTTTTCTTCCACGACTCGGGTCTGCACCACGATTCATGGTCTCTCTCGGTTGATGTATGTCTAGCAGTCTATACCTATATAGTCAAAGCGCGTATTTTCTTATACCACTTTGTGATGCCAATTTTGACTACTATAACATGAGAAGTTTCAGTTGAAAAGAGGCGTGACGTCGACGTACCGTCCAAGATGCACCATTGGTCGTCGATCTCGGTGTGCTGGATGTAGCTGTCCTCGATGGTGGGGTCGTAGTCGGTGACGAAGAGCTTCTGGAAGAACTGGATGGTCAGGGCGCTCTTGCCGACGCCTCCGTCGCCCACCACGACCAGCTTGAAGGTGACGAGATTGTCGTTGTTCGGAGGCCTCGTCATGCTGGAGGAGGTGCGGTCTTCCGACCGTTGAGATCAACCCGAGCCGAGACGGGCCGGGGCGAGGGTGCGCGCCCTCGTGCGACGATCCATCCCTTCGAGGTGCTTCGAGGCGACCGCGAGGTCGAAGGAGGCGCAGTACGGCTCTCGACGGGCGCCACGCACCTGCGCATGTCCGAGTCTCTTATTGCGGGTCCACAACAGTCCGCAACTCAAATTAACCAGAGTTTAAGGCCCGATTCCACGACTCGAATTAAACGAAGACTGACTAGTTTCCATCCAGTATAAACACGGTATAACCAGTTCAATTTTGGTTAATTCAAGTTGCGGAACCGAGCCTAAGGCTGCTTATAGTCGGTTTAAACACGAAGGAGTTTATTACGTATTTTTTATGAGAGCGCTCACTTCTCGCACTTTCACTTTGGTAGTCGATAAACTCGCATTTGAACGGGATAAAGGCAAAAAAAGTGTTGTATGCGCTTCTTTGCTAAAGCGATGGGAATACGAGGTCTCGGAGTGAAAATTGAATTGACCTGGAAATCACAGATGGCGCAGGTGGTCCCTCCGCAGTCAATTAGAGCCCCAGAAAGCACGAATCCAGAGGATTTCTGGAGTTTTACTTCGATTTCTTTATAATTATTGTACGAAAACGACAGGTGGAGTATGCTATTTGGTACAATACCCAATATAATTCGATATAGCTGTCAATATAAAAACGAACGTCGGGAACGTAGGCATTTAGAAAAATCTTCTTTATCGACGTTGATCAAGTTCCTCGGCGTGTTTCGCTTCACCTTAAAACAATGATAAACCCACCTGTTCCGAGTCCAGTACTTTGACGATTAAAAATAAAATCCACCGCCAATAATTAGCACCCATACTTTATTTAATCTTGCATATGCCCATAAACAATAATATTAAAATATGCAAAGACCCCAAACGATTAATACTTTTATGACAGTCCACATGTATAATCGTGCCTATTCAGAAAAGGCGCAGCGTTTTAAGTTCATTATCTCAAAAAGTGCGCAATTATTCAACAACTCATGAGTAACGATAAAATTATCAAAATTATTGACTGCTAAGAGATAACTATACATAGACAGTAGAGTTAGAAAATTCTCGGTAATATAAAATCGGAGAAGGTAACTTTGAAAGATACGAGAATATTGATAATTTATGAGAACATTTGTTTCTTTTATTTATATTTTAGGTTTCTTCAAATATGTAACAGTTTTTTTCAGTCCTCCCTTAAAGGCCCAGGTAAAAAGTAATAATTAATATTTTTATCTTAATAAATATGTTACTTTTTAACTAATGTTTAATGTAATTATTTCAGTTCTTACAGTGATTTAAAACAGGCGTTGCGCCACTGACACTTTTGTTACTTCTTTTATGTTTAATATACCGTTTTCTTACATTTGTGTGTCAGTTTAAGCAACGTCTGTTTTGATCATTGCAAGTACTTTTTAAATCCCGAAAATATCCCTTCGTTTAATAAATGAATTTGAATAGGCCGCCAAATATTTTAGTTCGCGAAGAAGGTTTACTCCAACCGAAGATGGCGGTAGTGCATAAGCGTTACACCCCAATACATGGCAATGTCACCCCCAAGTACATTTTAAATCCCGGAAATATTCCTTCGTGTAATAAATGAATTTGAATAGCCCGCCAAATATTTTAGTTCGCGAAGAAGGTTTACTCCAACCGAAGATGGCGGTAGTGCATAAAGCGTTACACCCCAATACATGGCAGTGTTGACCCCCACGATTTCAAATTTGCCGGTGACGTCGCCGCGTCGTCCAATCAGGTCGCGCGACGCGTGGGGAATTTCCCCTAGATTCATCTGCTCGTTCCCGGCAAGGGCATATCTCGTCAGTCACACAAGTTTCTCGGCAATTGATCTCGACGGTTGCTGGCGGTCGTCGAAGACATCTCGACCGGTTCAAAGTCGCCCACGAAAAAGACGTTATTGGACATTTCGTCGTCGACGTGATCGCGCAAAACAGAGAGGACTATCCAGGTGCCAGTCCGGTGAGTGAAGTTCTTTCTCGTCGACGTGATGCGCGTTCCGTCGCCCCTTGTGTCGCGCCTTTGCCGGCTCTTAGAAGCTGCGGACATCCGGCTCGTCGCCGCGTCTTCCTTGACGCCGTCCTCCAGGTCGCTATTCGGTCTCATAACCTCAACCTTGATCATCCCCGCACGGTTGATTATCAGCCGCGGGCGGGTCGCAGTTTATCAAGGGGTGACCTTGGGCCGCGGCTAGGTCACCGGGTCACCTTGACGAGGGAGGAGACGTGACCTTAACCGGGATTTCCTCTTTGCAGGACATTGTCGAGCAGACTCTTCGCCAGCTTCGAAATGCCGATCCAGAGCATCAAGGCTCGTCAGATCTACGATTCTCGCGGTAATCCCACCGTCGAGGTGAGTACATGCAAAGTATTTAGAAAGCGTAGCGACGAGACCTAAATTAAAAAAAATTCAAGGGTTCTTATAGAAACTCGGACGAAGTGTTAGCATTTAATGCTCGTTAAGGTGAAGTAAAATCCCCCTTAAAATTGTCAATTCCAGTAAGACATTTTTATTTAAGGATAATAAATAGAAATGTCTGAAACTTTGATAAATGACTCGTGAGCACCTAGGAATTATCCTGACACTTTTGAAATTAAGATTTTTGAACATCATTTTTTAACGTAGTCCAGACCAGAACGTAAATGACATCGAGTCTTAATAATTCGATCGATATCCAATTATTAAAGGCTCTGATATGAGAAACAAGAGAGTCAAGACAGTTGTACGACAATTAAAATGCCACCCTTCAATGGTTAACATTCTAATTTTTGAGCACAAAATGGCCATATCGTTCTGAGTTTCTGTAAAGATGGATGAATTCTTTAAGGTGAAGTGAAACACGTTGAGAAATTCGATCGACGTTAGTAAAAAAGATTCTTCTAAATACCTACTGTTGCTGATGTTTGTATTTATATCAGTAGTGTGTCGAATTATATTAGGTTTTGTACTACATGGTGTACTCCATATGTCGTTTCCGTACAATATTTATAAAAAAAAGTCTATGCTAAACTCCAAGCATCTCCTGGACTTATAGTTTTTTATGCCCTAATTGACTGTAGAGTGCCACCCTGCACCATCTGTGATTTTAGGGTTAACTAAATTTTCTCTCCGAGTCCTCGTGTTACCTTCGTTTTAGCACAGAAGTGCAGAAGACACTTCTTTTATCCTTGTCCTGTCCAAATGAAGTTTCTCCGTTACTAGAGTGTTCTAAATCGTACAATTGTCCTGACACTTTCGTTTTACATATCAGAGCGTTCAATAATTGTGTATCGATTGAAATATGAGAGTTCAACGCCATTTTGGTCCAGGTCCAGATTGAGTTAAAAAATGTTTTCCAAAAATCCAAATTTTGAATGTGTCAACGCAATTCTTAGATGATCAGGAGTGACGTGTCAAAGTTTCTGGCAGTTTGGTCTAATACCCTTAAAAAAAAGTGTTGTATTCGAATCGACTGATTTGAAAGGGGTTTCACTTCACCTTAATTTTGTTCGTACCTCAAACTGGATTCCAGGTTCACACAGCCGTTAAATCCTGCTCGTCCAGACACGTTAGATAGATCTTTCATTGGGTTCTGCATCGAGAACATTTCTGCACTGGAGCCCTGGTTTGATTATTCGATAACGTTTTACTCGCTTATTTTCTCAGGTCGATCTGGTCACCGAGAATGGGCTCTTCCGGGCAGCCGTACCTTCCGGAGCTTCTACGGGCGTCCACGAGGCGCTGGAACTGCGCGATAACGATAAGAGCAAATACCACGGGAAGTCGGTCTTCAAGGCCGTAGACAACGTCAACCTCACCATCGCGCCGGAGCTAGTCAAGGTAGGAGTCCAGGTACCCCTTCTTGCGAACCTCTGATAACCGTGAGCTCGTTACCGACAGGCCAACCTGGATGTGACCCAGCAAGCTGACATCGACGCGTTCCTGTTGAAGCTGGATGGCACCCCAAACAAGGCGAAATTGGGCGCCAACGCCATCCTGGGCGTCTCTCTTGCGGTCTGCAAAGCTGGCGCCGCAAAGAAGGGCCTGCCCCTTTACAGGTGGGTCGAAGACGCAGTACGCGTTGGGTACATGGAGCTAATTAACCGTTTGACTGCTACGCGGCGCAAAAGCGCTGTGTTCATTTGTCTCGAAAATCGCGACGCAGCGCTTTTGCGCTGCGAGTTTCAGTGTTTCTTGGTTGCTCCGCAGTTTTCGTGCGTTCTTGCAAAAATTACTTAACAGTCAAACGGTTAAACTATGAAGAACGATTGGGTACATGGAGCTAATTAAACTATGAAGAACGATTGGGTACATGGAGCTAATTAAACGACGAAGAACGATTGGGTACATGGAGCTAATTAAGGTGAAGTGAAACACGTCGAGGAACTTCATCGACGTCGATAAAGAAGATTTTTCTAAATGCCTACGTTGCCGAAATTCGTTTTTATATCGACAGCTGGATCAAATTATATTGGGTATTGTACCAAGTGGCATACTCCACCTGTCCTTTTCGTACAATAATTATAAAGAAATCGAAGTGAAACTCCAGAAATCCTCTGGATTCGTGCTTTCTGGGGCCCTAATTCACTGCAGAGGGACCCTCTGCGCCATCTGTGATTTCCAGGTCAATTAAATTTTCACTCCGAGACCTCGCATTACCATCGCTTTGGCATGGAAGCGCATGCAACACTTTTTTTGCCTTTATCCCGTTCAGATGCGAGTTTATCGATTACCAGAGTGTTCTAAATTGTAAAATTGTCCTGACCCTTTCGATTCTCATATCAGAGCCTTCGATAATTGTATATTGATCGAAATATGAGAACTCGACGCCATTTTGGTTCCCGTCTGGGCTGAGTTAAACAATTTTTTTGAAAAATCCAAATTTTGAATGCGTCAGGACAATTCTTAGATGATCAGGAGTGACGTGTCAGTTTCGGAGAGTTTGATCTAATACCCTTAAAAAAAAGTGTTGTATTTGTATCGACTGATTTGAAGGGTGTTTCACTTCACCTTAAACGACGAAGAACGATTGAGTACATGGAGCTAATTAAACGACGAAGAAAGATCCACTAAAAGTGGCCCCGAAATCGGGACCCAGGATCTCAGATTTTCGCTGATCCAATGATGTGAGCGCTACTTGCGGGAAAATGGGGAACTGCAATTCTACGTGACTAAAACGTTTCCTATCGACATAAATAACCTAAAATGCTTTTAATTTTGCAACTAAGGTACGCAAAGCGATACGATAATCCGTACATAATATACAGAATGTGATGTTTTTAACGCGATAAAGACTAACGGACGATTATTTGTCATTTCAAAATCTCATGAGATAAAGCAAAAAAAGTGTTGTATGTTGTATGCGCTTCTATGCTAAAACGATGGGAATACGAGGTCTCGGAGTGAAAATTTAATTGATCTGGAAATCACAGATGGCGCAGGGTGTCCCTCTGCAGTCTATTAGGGCCCCAGAAAGCATGAATCCAGAGAATTTCTGGAGTTTTATTTCGATTTCTTTATAATTATGGTACGATAACGACAGGCGGAGTATGCCATTTGGTACAATACCCAATATAATTTGATCCAGCTGTCAATATAAAAATGAACGTCGGCAACGTAGGCATTTAGAAAAATCTTCTTTATCGACGTCGATCAAGTTCCTCGACGTGTTTCACTTCACCTTAAGGCAGCCGTACCTGGTGACGGCTGTACTTTTTCGCTTTTTTGTGCATTTTTTTTCTAACGAGCCAGGAAATTACCCCGTCTTGGAGTTTTAAAAATATATTTATTTAGATTTATACAGTCACTCGGAATTTTTTGAAGTCAAAATATGGATTGGAATCGATTTTACGGCGAAAGAAACACATGTGAAAAATAAGTAGGTTGACGGCTGACGTGATTCTGGCTGTTCTGTGCATTGGAAATGAAAAAAAAAATGAAATGGCATTTCAATCTGTATACCTGTGCCTATAGCCGGAACAAGGATTAAATGGAAATATTGAAAAGTAAATGTTTCGCACGGTTCTGAAAATATATAATACAGGTAACCCTCCTATAACACGGTAGTTAGGTTCCTAGAAAATGCCGTGTTGTGTGAAACCGTGTTGCATGAGACCCAGAGCTAGTATAAAAAGGGGGGTTACGTTCCAAAAACTTATTAAAAACAAATATTTTTTTTAATTCGACATAAACAACTTAATTTTTATTAAAAATATAACTGTATGTACAACACAAAGGATAAAAAAAATATTTTAATCTAATGCAACCATAATTTAATGAATTTATTCGTCGTCACTGCTCAGTATAATCAACCGAGAACGTTTTTTCGGTGGAACGATATCCCCTTCACTTTCAGAACTTTTTTCTGTATTTAAGGTTTTTGTATGTTTTCCCCTCTTGAAAAAATCTGTAATCGAACTTTGCTTGCTGGTTTTTACTAGGTCATTGTAAATTTCGCGGTATGGAGATAAACAGTTTTGCAGCTTCCTTTTGAATTTTCGAGTTCTTTCCGTGGAAGGGTCTGTATTCAAGAAAAATGACTCGTTATAGCGAAACCGTGTTATAGGATGTCGTGTTGTAGGAGGGTTCCCGCAATTTACGAATCGTGTTATAGCGAAACCGTGTTATAGGAGGGTTACCTGTAATTAAAAGAGCATTGACATTATGTCGTAGCACTCATTTAATATGAAAATGACCACTTATCAAAAATCGCTCTCATATAAACGAGAATACCGAAGGAATTGTTAACACTATGCCGTCCGGCGACACCACAGTGGTGACGTGCGCAAACTAGCGGTCAACGGCCGGTGACACCACAGTGGTGATGTGCGCAAATTTTTGGCCAACGGCCGGCGACACCACAGTGGTGTCGATAACGTCAAAAACGGCCGGCGACAAGTCAAGTGATCCGAATTAGCGCTGCCGGCGCCAAGCGAATAAATATTTACGAATCGTGCGGACGGCAAAGTGTTAAGTTTGTGGGCTCTTCGCTTGCAAAGTTTATGACCTCAGCTGCGATAACTTCTCATTCTTGCTCGTGATTCCAGATACATCGCCGAGCTGGCTGGCAACAAGGACATCGTCCTCCCGGTGCCGGCGTTCAACGTCATCAACGGCGGGTCCCACGCGGGCAACAAGCTGGCCATGCAGGAGTTCATGATTCTGCCGACTGGCGCCGCTAACTTCACCGAGGCTATGAAGATGGGCAGCGAGGTCTACCACCATCTCAAGGCCGGCATCAAGAAGAAGTTCGGCCTGGACGCGACCGCCGTCGGCGACGAGGGTGGCTTCGCGCCCAACATCCTCGAGAACAAGGAAGCGTTGAACCTCATCGTCGACGCCATCAAGGCGAGTTTAATGACTTTGGATGTCAGGAGCCTACAAAAGCGGACATTCCCTTGATATTCTTGCGAAGACAGCGAAAAGGAACGGAGGAAACAAAAGGGCCATTTATTTCATTAGAGATAAACAATCGCCTCGTTGAACTACACAGCTCTTTTATGCATATGCAGAAGAATAGAGCGATATAACCCTTTCATTCGGCTCTGCTACCTTCTAAGCTCCTTACTCATGTCTCACTTTTAGCCTTAAGGTGAAGTGAAACCCCCTTCAAGTCAGTCGATTCGAATACAACACTTTTTTTTTAAGGGTATTAGACCAAACTGACCGAAACTTTGACACGTCACTCCTGATCATCTAAGAATTGCCCTGACACGTTCAAAATTTGGATTTTTGGAAAAAATGTTTTAACTTAGCCCAGACCAGAAACAAAATGGCGTCGAGCTCTCATATTTCGAACAATATACAATTATCGAGGGCTCTGATATGAGAATCGAAAGGGTCAGGACAATTTTACGACAATTTAGAACACTCTGGTAATCGATAAACTCGCATTGGAACGGGATAAAGGCAAAAAAAGTGTTGTATGCGCTTCTTTGCTAAAACGATGGGAATGCGAGGTCTCGGGGTGAAAATTTAATTCACCTGGAAATCACAGATGGCGCAGAGGGTCCCTCTGCAGTCAATTAGGGCTCCAGAAAGCATGAATCCAGAGGATTTCTGGGGTTTTACTTCGATTTCTTTATAATTATTGTACGTAAACGACAGGTGGAGTATGCCATTTGGTACAATACCCAATATAATTCGGTACAGTTGTCGATATAAAAACGAACGTCGGCCACGTAGGTATTTAGAAAAATCTTCTTTATCGACGTTGATCAAGTTCCTCCACGTGTTTCACTTCACCTTAAATGGCGTATTTTAGGGCACTGTTAAAACCGACCCTACTCGTGTCTCGCTTTTAAATCAATTTCGTAGGAAATCCTTTAAAAAATCAACTATCACATAATGAATCAACTATTGCTACATTGCGCTGCGTAACCGTTCTATATAAAGAAAGTGCGAAAAAAGCCTCTCTAGCTCCTATTTTTTACTTCTACTGCTTTCATAGTCAGATTAGCGCGCAAGGTCCATATATCTCACTGTAATGGTACAAAATCTGGAAGACAGGAAACAAAGGGGCTGTTTTTCTTATCATTGAATCAACTATCGCTATATTGCCCTGCATAACTGTTCTGTATAAAGAAAATGCCAAAAAAGCCTTTGTAGGTCCTATTTTTTACTTCTACTGCTTTCATAGTCAGATTAGCGTTTAAGGTCCATACGTCTCACTCTGATAGCAGAAGATCTGAAAGACAGAGAACAAAGAGGCTTTTTCCTTATCATTGAATCAACTATCGCTATATTGCGCCGCACAACCGTTCTGTATAAAGTGCCAAAAAAGCCTTTCTAGGTCCTATTTTTTACTTCTACTGTTTTCATAGTCAGATTAGCGCGCAAGGTCCATACATCTCACTATAATGGTACAAAATCTGGAAGACAGAAAACAAAGGGGCTGTTTTTCTTATCATTTAATCAACTATCGCTATATTGCGCTGCGTAAACATTCTGTGTAAGGAAAATGCGAAGAAAAGCCTTTCTAGTACCTATTTTTTGTTTCTACTGCTTTCATAGTCAGATTAGCGCGCAAGGTCCATACATCTCACTATAATGGTACAAAATCTGGAAGACAGAAAACAAAGGGGCTGTTTTTCTTATCATTAGATCAGCCATCGCTACATTGCGCTGCGTAACCGCTTTATGGAAAGATAGGAGAGGAAAAGTAGCGTCTCTATTATCTCTTTCGGTTCTGCCGTCTTCATAATTGGATTAATGTACGAGGTCGATACATCCTCTGTCCATGAGCGCGTTATAGTTACTTCCAAGCCGGTAAGAACGGAATCGTGAATTAACTCAGTCGGTATTGCAGGTGGCCGGTTATGAGGGGAAGATCAAGATCGGTATGGACGTCGCTGCCTCCGAGTTTTACAAGAACGGCAAGTACGACCTCGACTTCAAGAACGAGAAGTCCGACCCCGCCCAGTACCTGGAGCCGGAGGCCCTGAAGAACCTCTACCTCGACTTCGTCAAGGAGTTCCCGATCGTGTCCATCGAGGATCCCTTCGACCAGGACGGCTGGGACTCCTGGGCGGCCATGACGGCGTCGACGCCCATCCAGATCGTCGGCGACGACCTGACCGTCACCAACCCTGAGAGGTACGTCTTCTCCGAGTCCATCCAACCCACTGATGTCATGAAATTTTCATTTAAACAATTTTTGTATAGGTATCTTTTAAATTTCTTATAAAAAATGAAATTTCATGAGGGCCAGGACCTTTCTTATAGCCTCCACATTTACATTGTAAAGTTTGAAACGATTCGAACTTCGAAACGAGGTTTACATCCATCTTCTTATAGTTACTATACCGAAATGACATATGTGCCCATAATTATGAAAGTGGTCTAAGTCATATACTTTTTGTTTCGAAATTACATTGAATTAATTTCGTTTGAAATAATATGGCGTGAAATAACTGATAAACTTTTTTTTTTAATTTTGACTTAGACCACTTTCATAATTATGGGCACATATGGAACGCTTCCGTTTTGCATAATTCTCAGTATAGGCTGTAAAAAACTTCAAAGTGAATGTAAACGTCGGTAACGGGACTGACATTACTTTTCGGACAAAACCTGTATATAAGCTGACTCTTTCATATGACCTTAAGGTGAAGTGAAACACGTCGAGGAACTTGATCGACGTCGATAAAGGAAATTTTTCTAAATGCCTACGTTACCGACGTTCGTTTTGATATCGACAGATGGGTCGATTTATATTGGGTATTGTGCCAAATGGCATACTCCACCTGTCGTTTTCGTACAATAATTATCAAGAAATCGTAGTAAAACTCCAGAAATCCTCTGGATTCGTGCTTTCTGGGGCCCTAATTGACTGCAGAGGGACTCCCTGCGCCATCTGTGATTTCCAGGTCAATTCAATTTTCCCTCCGAGACCTCGTATTACCATCGTTTTAGCATAGAAGCGCATACAACACTTTTTTTGCCTTTATCCCGTTCAAATGCGAGTTTATCGATTACCAGAGTGTTCTAAATTGTCGTAAGATTGTCCTGACCCTTTCGATTCTCATATCAGAGCCTTCGATAATTGTATATTGATCGAAATATGAGAGCTCGACGCCATTTTGGTTCTGGTCTGGGCTAAGTTAAAACATTTTCTCCAAAAATCCAAATTTTCAACGTGTCAGGACAATTCTTAGATGTCAAAGTTTCGGACAGTTTGGTCTAATACCCTTAAAAAAAAAGTGTTGTATTCGAATCGACTGATTTGAAGGGTGTTTCACTTTACCTTAACTTCCTCTTTCGCAGGATCAAGACGGCCATCGAAAAGAAGGCGTGCAATTGCCTGCTGCTCAAGGTGAACCAGATCGGCAGCGTGACCGAGTCGATCAAAGCGCACAATCTGGCCAAGAGCAGCGGCTGGGGCACCATGGTGTCTCACCGCTCCGGCGAGACCGAAGATACCTTCATTGCCGACCTGGTGGTCGGTCTGTCGACCGGGCAGATCAAGACCGGCGCGCCCTGCCGGTCCGAGCGACTCGCCAAGTACAACCAGATCCTGCGGATCGAAGAGGAACTTGGCGCAGCCGCCAAGTTCGCCGGCGAGAAGTTCCGCAATCCCTCCGCTTGACCGGTGGATCCGTAATCCACCGCTGGCGGCGCTGCCCGCCCGCCCGGGCGGCGCTAGGGCCGCCCGGGACCCTCCTCCCCGTGGACCCAGGAAGACGGAATGCGGGATGAAGCTCGTGACGTATAAGGAGAGAAGCTTATGACGTATGCGGAAAGAAGCTCGTGACGTATGCGGAGAGAAGCTCGTGACGTATGCAGAAAGAAGCTCGTGACGTATGCGGAGAGATAGGGATATACCGATACCACCAAAGTGTCGGTGCCTTCATTTGCTACTGGTTTGCTACTTTTTTTAGTAGCTAAACCTTTTTTAGTAGTTAAACCAAACGAAAAAAAGCATCGATACATACTCAGTACCGAAAAGAAAGTGTCGTTATATACTTGATATCGGAAAGAAAGTACAAAACTTAGAATTGAACCGGTACATACTCAAAATCAATACCTAGAAAAGACCTTTATTTATCACTTGCACCGAAAAGAAGTACTGATACCTTTATTCGTCACTTGCGCCGATAAGGAGTACTCGATACGTATTTAGTATCAGAAAAAATGTCGATACTAATGAATGTATCTACTGATACTCGTATTTATTTACTTGTCGGTTTATCCCTTGGAACGAGTGACGGATATTTTCCGTTTCACGTGTTCTAAACGGAGATATACAGGATTACAAGTGCCATTGTCGTCGTGTACGATTTTTAAGTTCTTAAAAACAATGCACGGCACCGTTGCACAATCTTTATATCTTTTAGTTCTGTGGTCCGTATTCATGCCTTACTTTTAGCGCTAAAAGACGTCTTTTGACTGCAGACATTAAAGTACTAAAAAGCAGTTTTCATCTGAAGCCTTTAAGAGGTTATATGTAATTGTCAGGCGAAATTCAAGAATTTTGTTTTCACAACTAAAATACATTTTTCAATCGGAAACAGAGCGTGATTTCATAGTCAAATTATTGAACTTAATATATAATTTTTTTTCTCGAGATGTATTAAAATATTGGCGAGGTACGGCAATTCTCCAAAAGTTTTTTTTTTTACAGTGACCATGATATCAAAAAGTATTTCACCGATCAGCTTGAACATTTTTTTGGGCACATTCTACACGTGGAGGACTGTTGAAAAAAGAAAGGATTTTTCGAAATCCCGATTTTTACCAAAATGGCAGGGATATTGCTGAAAAATCACTTTTTTTCGTCTTATAACATTTCACTTTTCCTTAATAAAACAGCAAGTTTTCATAGAAAAAGAAAAGAAAAAAAAAATCCTTCGTTCATTCTGCAGTCCTCCATGTGTAGAATGAACCCTAAAAATGTTAAACCGATCGGTGAAATATTTTTTGAGATATCCTGGTCGCCGCAAAACAAAAAAATAATCTTTCAAAGAATTGCCGTACGTCGCCAATTTTTAAATACATCTTGACAAAGAAAAAATGCTATATTAAGTTCAATAATTTTACCATGAAATCACGCTCCGTTTTCGATTAAAAAATGAATTTTATTTATGAAAAGAAAATTCTTGAACGTCGCCTACGACAACTGCATATAACTTCGTGAACGCCTAAAAGACGTATTTTAAAATTAAATGTGAGGTAGGGGTACAAGCTTTTGGCTGACTTTCATGTACAAAATCGCACTTGTGGGTGTAGCAACGGAAAATGGCCGACTTTTGGCTGACTTTCATGTACAAAATCGCACTTGTGGGTGTAACAGCGGAAAATGGCCGCCACAGATCCTTTCTCTTACGTCTCGAACTTTCGTCCCGTGTCTAGAATCTAACTAGACCCCATTCCTTTATTCCTAGATCCATGTTTTCCCCTCTTCCGGACTCCACTACGTTCCCGAAGGATCCACTGGCGCTTCTCTTCATAATCCTCGCCTGGATCACTCGCACAAAGTTCCCGAGATATTTTCTCCAACTTCTAGGTTCCGCTTCGAACCGCAAACACTGGCGCCCTCTGGTGTTTATCCTCGACATAGTCGTCGCGTGGATCGCAACCTACACTTAGTTTCAGTTCTCTAGATTGTTACAAACAGATGTAATAACGAATAAAGCGAGTTCTACGGAATTAAACGTACCTCTTCTTCGAGGTGACCTCGGCCAATCCGTTCTTTCGTAAACAATTAAGGTGAAGTGAAACACCCTTCAAATCAGTCGATTCGAATACAACACTTCTTTTTTAAGGGTATTAGATCAAATGGTCCGAAACTGACACATCACTCCTGATCATCTAAGAATTGTCCTGACACATTCAAAATTTGGATTTTTGGAGAAAATGTTTTAACTTAGCCCAGACCAGAACCAAAATGGCGTCGAGCTCTCATATTTCGATCGATATACAATTATCGAAGGCTCTGATATGAGAATCGAAAGGGTCAGGACAATTTTACGTCAATTTAGAACACTAGTAATCGATAAGCTCGCATTTGAACGGGATAAAGGCAAAAAAAGTGTTGTGTGCGCTTCTATGCTAAAACGACGGTAATACGAGGTCTCGGAGGGAAAATTTAATTCACCTGGAAATCACAGATGGCGCAGGGGGTCCCTCTGCAGTCAATCAGGGCCCCAGAAAGCACGAATCCAGAGGATTTCTGGAGTTTTATTTCGATTTCTTTATAATTATTGTACGAAAACGACAGGTGGAGTATGCCATTTGGTACGATACCCAATATAATTTAATCCAGCTGTCGATATAAAAACGAACGTCGGCAACGTAGGCATTTAGAAAAATCTTCTTTATCGACGTCGACCAAGTTCCTCGACGTGTTTCACTTCACCTTAAGGTTAAGTATACATTTCGAAATGACGTATGTACCATTTTGTAACATTTTATACACTTCTGCTCTCTCTGCTACATACATCGTACCGAAGACCGTTTACTTCATACATTTCACTGTAATAATTGATTTCATTTGCCATCCTTGCTTCTTTAACTCGAATCTACACGGTTTAAATTTGAATTTAATCCACCGTTGGGCATAAGTAGCGTAGAAAATTTGTGATACATAAAATGGCGTCCGATCGGTAAACATGTTGAGTGAACGTACCCATTCAGCAGATGAGCGCTAACCGATCACTCAACAGTTGTCTCCTCTGAATGCACCCATTGTCAGACATGTAACCAATTCGTAAAATCAGTAATCGAAACATGGACTAACTCGAAATATGACTAAGGACATCAAAGTTTCTGAAATAATGTTTAAATGTCCTTTATCGCCCATGGCTCTGTTATGTCGCAACATCCGTGGCTGTTGGAGCGACTTTCAGACGTGCTATTTCAACAAATGGTTATGTATGTTTAGGAAAACCTTAAATTCACGTAAGTACCTCTACCTTCATACAAATACATCTGTATTGAAGTACATCTTCGCCATAATAGTAGAGTATGGATTTAAAGACATACAATTGCAACACGGTTATATTGTCCGAATAAACTAAGATAAAACATTCAATTCATATTTTATCTATAAAATATTTTTATGGGCATTTATTTGACATATGTAAGTACTGTAATTAAAAAAAGTTTCGGCTCAGGTAGTAGAAGGTAAAGTTTTCCGAGTTTTCAATTTGACAGGACTCCCGCCTTTAATGAGATTCATAAGATTGCGTACTCCATGTTGATCCCTTAGCGATAGCGGTGCCATCTACAGGGAAAATTTCAAACAATGTTCTGTATCCTTTTCCGCAGACACGAACTCGCATAAGAAACCCTGTGCATAGAGTTCGAAAATTCTCGGTAACATTAAATTGGAGAAAGTAACTGTGAAACATACCGTAAGTTATCGGGAACATTGAGAATTTAAGAGAACGTTAATTTTGTTATTTATACTTTAGGTTTCTTCGTTTAAATAACTTTTTTTTTCAATCAACTTCAAAGTTCAAGCTAAAGAGTAATAATAACTATTAGAAAATATTGATTATAGGGTCGTATTTACCTCCAGCTAAAAATATTCACGTATGTACAACTTCACGGAAAATTCCATGCCATTTGTTTCAAANTTACAGTGATTTAAAACAGGCGTTGCGCCACTGACACTTTTGTTACTTCTTTTATGTTTAATATACCGTTTTCTTACATTTATGTGTCAGTTTAAGCAACGTCTGTTTTGATCATTGCAAGTACTTTTTAAATTCCGAAAATATCCCTTCGTTTAATAAATGAATTTGAATAGCCCGCCGAATAATTTAGTTCGCGAAAAAGGTTTACTCCAACCGAAGATGGCGGTAGTGCATAAGCGTTACACCCCAATACATAGCAATGTCACCCCCAAGTACATTTTAAATCCCGGAAATATTCCTTCGTTTAATACATGAATTTGAATAGCCCGCCGAATAATTTAGTTCGCGAGAAAGGTTTACTGCAACCGAAGATGGCGGTAGTGCATAAGCGTTACACTCCAATACATGGCAATGTCACCCCCAAGTACTTTTTAAACCCCGGAAATATCCCTTCGTTTAATAAATGAATTTCAACAGCCCACCGAATAATTTAGTTCGCGAAAAAGGTTTACTCCAACCGAAGATGGCGGTAGTGCATAAACTCCAATACATGGCAATGTCACCCCCAAGTACTTTTTAAACCCCGGAAATATCCCTTCGTTTAATAAATGAATTTCAACAGCCCACCGAATAATTTAGTTCGCGAAAAAGGTTTACTCCAACCGAAGATGGCGGTAGTGCATAAAGCGTTACACCCCAATACATGGCAATGTCACCCCCAAGTACATTTTAAATCCCGGAAATATTCCTTCGTTTAATAAATGAATTTGAATAGCCCGTCGAATAATTTAGTTCGCGAGAAAGGTTTACTCCAACCGAAGATGGCGGTAGTGCATAAGCGTTACACCCCAATACATGGCAATGTCACCCCCCTGGCTTGGTCGCGACCGCGACTGATGCGCGTTACACGCGAGACACGCGTTCTCGTCGCCGAGGATTGGGTCTCTCCGATGTCCTCTCCCCGGAGCGGCATCTCCGGCGGTTCGGAGGCCTCCCGGAAGGCTTCTTGACAGGGTCTCCGCACGCTGCGAGTTGCAGCAGTGGAGGCCCCTCGTCCAGGTCGACGCACGCCTCGGTGAGCACTTGAAGGTCGAAGGCGCTCCTGGCGCGTCTTGGGCTGGCTTCCAACAGCGGAGCACTGGAGTTCAGTTCCGACCAGGGTACAGCACTACTCCTCCGAGGTTGATGAGACGACCCTGGAGGTCGCAGCAGTCCGGAGGGCACACTCGGTGGCGCCACCTGGACCGGGGTCGGAGCAAGGGCGAGGGACCCACTCGCTGCCCGGTGTTGATGCTGCTGCTGTTGCTGGAACTTCGGCTGGTACGGCTCGAGCATCCGGATCTTGCCCCAGCGGTTGATGAAGAGGGCGATGGCCGCCACCCAGAGCACCAGCACGAAGAGGACGATGAGCAGCTCTTCGGGCGTCACGTCGAGGGGTTGCGCTTCCGGCGAGGATAACGTGGTACCTGGGCAGAGAATTGAGAGGTTTCGATAGAAGCCTGGGTCCTATGTTGGCGCTCGATGCTCTCTACCAGGGAGACTAGAATCGTGGAGGCCTATTCTGTAACTTGCTACGACAGATATGGTTATCGTTAGCTCGTGTCAATTCAATAGGCTAACGATAACGATATCCGTTGTTACGAGTTCCAGAATAGGCCTACAGGAGGACAGGGGGTCGACACTCCTTATGGGAGAAGTGTAACGCTGAAGTTAGTTCACCTACTCCAAGCAAAGACTGCGCTGGTGTCGTTACTTTTCAGTCTAATAGAAAGAGAACAGAGAAAAAATTTTCTAACCAATAGCAAGAGACTCCAGGAGGCGCAGAGTAGATGCGCATAAAAATAGTCGAGACAAGTGAACCAAAGTGAACCTAACCTCGATTAGTGGCAATATTTTTACAAGTTTCGATTACCTCGAGTATTAAATCGCGAACGTGAGTTTGTGAGTAAAAGTGTAAATCAAGAACAGTTTGTAGTTTCTTACTATAATAATTGTAATAATTAAATGGATTAAATGCGATGTGTAGATCGCATTTAATCCATGAAAGTAATCGTAACAAAAATTAAATTTGTATAGAATTTGTATATTTATACATTCATAATAATTAATATTTTTATCTTAATAAATATGTTACTTTTTAACTAATGTTTAATGTAATTATTTCAGTTCTTACAGTGATTTAAAACAGGCGTTGCGCCACTGACACTTTTGTTACTTCTTTTATGTTTAATATACCGTTTTCTTACATTTATGTGTCAGTTTAAGCAACGTCTGTTTTGATCATTGCAAGTACTTTTTAAATTCCGAAAATATCCCTTCGTTTAATAAATGAATTTGAATAGCCCGCCAAATATTTTAGTTCGCGAAGAAGGTTTACTCCAACCGAAGATGGCGGTAGTGCATAAAGCGTTACACCCCAAACATGGCAGTTTCGACCCCCTGCAGGACGACGACCTGCATAGGGTCCCTTGTAAGAGCTCGTGCTCGCGGAAAAGGATACAGAACGTTGCTTGAAGTTTTCTCTGTAGATGACGACTCTACCGCTAAAGGACCAACATGGAGTACGCAATCTTGTGAATCCCAGACAACGCGGGAGGCCTGTTAAATTGAAAATTCGGAAGACTTGACGTTCTACTACCAGAACCAAAACTTTTATGATTACAGTACTTACATATGTCATAAATAAATGCTCATAAAAATATTTTATATATAAAATATATACTGAATATTTTACCTTAGTTTATTTGGACAATATAACCGTGTTGCAATTGTTCGTCTTTAAATCCATGCCCGTGCGTTATTCAAGTAGTGGTCCCTAAGCGAATGTGGCGCCGCCTAACAAAGAAATATTTCTTTCTTAGGGGGCGCCTATATCCGATTTTGAGGGAACTTCTATAACATTGTGTTCGTTCTCCTGGTCTCTAATCTCCATGCTCTCAGCACGGAGAGAAATATTTAATTAAATGAACTATTGCTAGGTGCAACATATTTATAATTAACAGTCAAGACCAAAGGCGTTGTGAAGCGTTTTTGAGGTCGAACAATAGCATCCATGAGGTTTTGTTGGGTTTTGTAACACGTGCACATCTGAAAGTCTTCGGGGAAATGATGCTAAAGGATATCTGGAGAGGGTCCTAAAAGAAGGTTTCGGAGATGCGCCGGAATTCTTCATTGTCTACCAATGTCTTATAGCATTTTCAGCTCAGCTATACTTTCTTACAGCAGTGTTGCACGAGTGTGGGGCGAATGTATTGGGTTGTTCGGAAAGTAATTTCGTTTCTTTTTATGAAAATGAGAGACGATTTTTTTATAGCGAATAAATATCTTATTGAATTATATATTGTCCATTCCGGTCCAATACCTTTTGCCATCTTTCTGGCAGTAGCATGATTCCACGCTCATAAAATGTTTGGTTTTTGCTGTCAAAAAACTGATCCAGGTGATTATTGACCTCATCATTTGAAGTAAAGGTTTTACCGTCCAAAAAATGTTGTAGAGACCGGAACAAGTAATAATCAGAAGGTGCCAGATCTGGAGAATATTGTGGGTGTGGCAGTATATCCCATCCAAGTTGTAGAAGCTTTTGGCGAGTTAAGAAACTTGTATGAGGTCTCGCATTATCTTGGTGAAACACTACACCTTTTCTATTGTTCAATGCTGGTCTCTCAATAGTAGTATAATACCTTACTGTACTTTAATTTGGATAAAAACGCTTTAATTCTTAAAAAAAAATTCTTGAAAAACCGTTATTTTTGGGTGGGTCAAAATGGTGTAACCCCTTAAAACCACAAGAAAACCCTACAATTTGAGTTGGCTAAGGAGTCCTAAGGATACTTCAGGGCAAAATAGGCGCATCGTAACCACCCGACTTACCGTTCCACTCCGAAGGGTCCGTAGAGGTCTCGACCTGGGTGGACTCCTCTAGAAGGGCCATGTGGAGGCCGCTCGCATGGGTCTGGTTGCCTAGGACGGGGTGCGGAGGACGTCGCCTCGGCGCCTCGGAGGCTCCCCGAGGGCCGGCCAGCCACTGAGCCGGGTCGGGCGTGCCGGGTCGGGCGTGCCGGGGGCCGAGATGGAGGCGCGGGACAAGGAGTCGAGATGCCCGGATAAGGCAGGCGCCCTTCGAGGGTTTCCATTAGCGGCCGGCCTATCGGGGGACCTCGCGAGCCACTTTCGCCCATGTACAACCCTTTCTCTTTTTATTAACCGTTACAATAGATCTCTACGTCGGACGATTATCGGCGTAACAACTTCTTCAACTACGTACTCGCCGCTCGCTTCTCGAGCGGTCCTCGCCGCGGGACTTCTTCCCCGATGGGGCGCAAGAGAGTCCCAGGTGGACGTGGATCGTTTTATGTGGCACTATTGGTATTATTGGTACATTGGCGGACATGAATGCCTCCCCTGCAGATAAGGCATCGCCTGTGCAGGATGGGAGGGCATTGATGTCTCCCAGTGTACCATTGGTACCATTGGTATCAACGAAGATCATTTTATGTGGCCCTATTGGTATTATTGGTACAATGGCGGTCATGAGTGCCTCCCCTGCGGATACGGCATCGCCTGTGCAGGGTGGGAGGGCATCGATGTCTCCCAGTGTATCATTGGTACCATTGGTATCAAAGAAGATCATTTTATGTGGCACTATTGGTACAATGGCGGACATGAATGCCTCCCCTGCAGATAAGGCATCGCCTGTGCAGGATGGGAGGGCATTGATGTCTCCCAGTGTACCATTGGTACCATTGGTATCAACGAAGATCATTTTATGTGGCCCTATTGGTATTATTGGTACAATGGCGGTCATGAGTGCCTCCCCTGCGGATACGGCATCGCCTGTGCAGGGTGGGAGGGCATCGATGTCTCCCAGTGTATCATTGGTACCATTGGTATCAAAGAAGATCATTTTATGTGGCACTATTGGTACAATGGCGGACATGAATGCCTCCCCTGCAGATAAGGCATCGCCTGTGCAGGATGGGAGGGCATTGATGTCTCCCAGTGTACTACCATTGGTATCAACGAAGATCATTTTATGTGGCACTATTGGTATTATTGGTACAATGGCGTACATGAATGCCTCCCCTGCAGATACGGCATCGCCTGTGCAGGATGGGAGGGCATTGATGTCTCCCAGTGTGCCACTGGTACCATTGGTATCAAAGATCATTTTATGTGGCACTATTGGTATAATGGCGGACATGAATACCGTTTCTTATTTAGGTAATCTTTGAACACATGATCACTTTCAAGTTTTATTGCGTTATTTAATTAATTCGACGCCGGGGCCGTTATTTAATTAATCCGAGCCGAACCGAGCACTTCGATATCACATGAAACGTGTTCATCGTAAAGCGATGCAGAAAAAAGTCTGAAATGTTGTTTCAGCGACATCTTAAGGTGATGTGAAAGTGGTGTCAAAGAGTTGTCGTTTATGAAACTTTTCTCCGAACTGAATATACCGAATCGTTTCAAACTTAATAAAATGAATATGGAAGCTGTAAAAAAGGTCCCGACGCCCATAAAATTTCAATTTTTTTTTTAATTTGTTCATATATGCTTTACCAATTTTTTATAAAAAATGAAATTTTATGGGTTTCAGGATCTACCTTAGGGCCTCTACATTCACGTTGTAAAGTTTGAAACGATTCGGTAAATCCAGTTCGTAGAAAAGTTTCATGAACTATTGACTTATCAGACGCCACTTTCACATCCCCTTAAGTGCAGTTCCAATTACTTTTTTATCCTCAATGTGTACAGCGTGACCCCGGCTTTAGTAAAACTTGTACTGCGTTCAAAGGATTATCTAGGGGAAGGTTGCCAAATGTAATACCTAAATCGAACCCCATGCACGTTTCTTGTCAATTGACATTAGTGACATGCAGTACTAGACGTCAACACAAATGTGAAAAACAACAGCAAAAATATCAAGTACTAGATATGACAAATCTATAACAATAAAAACATACACACGGCACGCATCTGGCAATATTCTCATGGATCAGAAACCGGTGTCGCCATCTTTATGCCATGTCCGAAAATTCTCGTCCAAAAGTGCCGATCTTGAAACGATTCCGTCAAAGAGATCTTTTTTATGAAACTTTTATCCAAACAGGGTATATTAAATCGTTTCAAACTTGACAACGTGAATATGGAGACTATAAGGAAGGTCCTCACACCCATGAAATTGCATTAATAAAAAATTTACAAAATGCCTATAAACAAATGATTTAACAATTGGAATTTCATAGGCGTGAGGACCTTCCTTACAGCCTCTATATTCAGGTTGTAAAATTTGAAACAATTCCGTACACCCAATTCGGAGAAAAGTTCCACAAACGATTGACTTTTAGTACGCAACTTTCACATCGCCTTAAGTGGCAATCGTTCGTGAAAGAATTCTCCGAATTGGGTGTACCAATTTGTTTTAAAATTTGCCACATGAATAAGGAGACCCTAAGGTCCTGAAACTCGCGGAATTTCATTTTGTATACAAAATTTGGAAAACAGCTATAAACAAGTTATCTCAAAATTGTAATTTCATGAGCGTCAGGACCTTCTTTATAGTCCCTGCATTCACCCTGTACGATTTAAGCCGATTCGGTACATCCAATTCGGAGAAAAGTTCCATAAACAATTGACCCTTCGTATACAACTTTCACATCCCCTTAATGAAAGTGTCATATATACATACCAAAAATTGAAAATATATACAAAACTTTTCGCCGCATTGGATGCACCAAATCATTTGAAACTTCATCACGATATTGTGGGAGCCCTAAGGAAGAACGCAATGCTCGTGAGATTTCATTTTTCACAAAAAAATTTCTATTTATCTCGGACAAGAACCAAAAAAAGACATTTTTTCTCGAAAAATGTAATTTCACGAGCATCGCGTTTTCCCTGAGGGCCTCCATAATCACGTGTTAAAGTTTTAGATAATTCGGTGCATCCAGTTAGGCGAAAAGTTTAATATTTTCACGTTTCGATGTATATATAGAATGACCCTTTCATATCCCCTTAACCACTTGGGACTCTCCTTGCGCATGCGCCAATCGTTCCGCGGACAGGACTAGAAAAATTGCGGAGTAGGAACTTCCCGCGCACTTCCCCGGCTACCCCGGAGAGCGGCGGGTCGAGGTCGGACTCGCCGACGACGTCCATCGGGTCGCTCAGTGGAGCGACTTCAGGTACGCCGCGTCGAACAGGTCGAGCTCGTTCGCCAGGTAGTTCGCCTTGTTCCTCAGGACCTTGGCGCTGGTGGCGGCCTCCTCCAAAGTACGCAGGGTGCCCGCGATCCCCTTCAGCTCCGCGTCCATGTCGGTTACGGTCTCGTCCACCAGATGGCAGAGCCTCGCGTACGTGCTGGAGAGCTCCCTGTAACATAGAGCGACACCACGGTTGTATATACAAGGAATAAGGTTAGGTAATTTCGTCTCTTCGAGTTTTTACGTATTTTACAGGTTTGTTCGTTTTGCCTACACTTTCTACTCTTTTAACCCCTTGCACTCTGGATCGTCCTCGATCGATCCAATACCGTATCGTAAATTTAGAAACAGACTTAGATTAACTAACAAATAATTTCTACAGCGCTAACGGTGCGAGCGTACGTGCGCTCGAACTGCGTGATCCTTCGCGCCGTCATAACTTCTTAGCCGAGGGTAGAGGACCGCCATAGAACCCCATGGTCAAGGCGCTCGTCTCCCTTTTTTCGATGTTTTAGAGGTCCCCTCCTTAAGGGCGTCCATCTTTCGCTCTCGACTCATATGGAAACAGTTAAGTCGCAGACTTTTCCAAACCTTCCGAGAAGGACAATTTATTTCTTTGGCGCTTAAGGTGAAGTGAAACACCCTTCAAACCTTGACACATCACTCCTGATAATCTAAGAATTGTCCTGACACATTAAAAATTTGGATTTTTTAACAAAATTGTTTAACTTAGCCCAGACCAGAACCAAAATGGCGTCGAGCTCTCACATTTCGATCAATATACAATTATCGAAGGCTCTGATATGAGAATCGAAAGGGTCAGGACAATTTTACGACAATTTAGAACACTTTGGTAATCGATAAACTCGCATTTGAACGGGATAAAGGCAAAAAAAGTGTTGTATGCGCTTCTATGCTAAGACGATGGTAATACGAGGTTTCGGAGTGAAAATTTAATTGACCTGGAAATCCTAGATGGCGCAGGGGGGCCCTCTGCAGTCAATTAGGGTCCCAAAAAGCATGAATCCAGATGATTTCTGGGGTTTTACTTCGATTTCTTTATACTTATTGTACGAAAACGACAGGTGGAGCATGCCATTTAGTTCAATACCCAATATAATTCGACCCGGCTGTCGATATAAAAACGAGCGCCGGCAATGTAGTTATTTAGAAAAATCTTCTTTATCGACGTCGATCAAGTTCCTCGACGTGTTTCACTTCACCTTAAGGTGTAATGAAAGGGTAATTCTTTAATCGACCGATTTCAGGGGAGTTTCACTTCCCCTTAAACGAGAGGTAGGCCGACTTACTGTTGCACTTGGTGGCTGCAGTTCGCCGAGGTCAGGTCCACGATCAGCCTAAGTTTTTTGGTGGCGTGGGCGACGTACTGGCGCTTGAACTCTCTTTCTTTGGCCTTGCTCGTCCAGGTAAGTCGTTCGTAGAGGTAGAGGGCGCCGTAGACGGCGCCGGTGACGGCGATGAGCCTCCAGCCGACCGTCTTCAGCATCTGAAGAGAAAACCAGGGTAAACGGAATGACGCAACGACAGAGGAGACGTTTACTTACGAATCCGGCCAGCAGGAGGCCCCCCATGGTGCCCTGGGAAGTGATGGAGACTACGGCGATCTTGCTCGCGAGCGACCAGTCGTCGCTCCTGGAGGGGAAGCCGACCACCTTGGTCACCGCTCTCATCGAGTCCACGCTGTCCGTCGGGGATGTCAACGCGGACGGGATCTAGGATCCAACCGAAGCCAGTTTTTACGTGGAAGAAATTTCAAAATGTGTTTATGCGCACCAGAGATGACCCTGGAGATGTTCACGCCATTGTTCAAAAGGAGACGCGGCTCCCTAGCGCCGTGGAACTGCTTTCAAAGGGGCAAAGAGTTCTCTATCGGTAAAGAAAAACGCGTCTGCAGAATTCAAATACAGCACAGGATCGATAGAATGCAGTCATCGTCTTTTCGTTTTTAGTATCAGGGTCAACGTAGGTTGGGAAAGCCAAATAAAGTTGTTACGCGTGGATGATTGAGATTACGAAGTGGTACCCACGCGTACCCTGTTTTACCGATCACGAAGATTTCGTCCCTTTGAAAGTAGTTCCAATTTTTACACAGGTGTTAAGGGCGTAGAGGGCGCCAGGGGGCCGTGCCTCCCTTTGAAACAATGGCGCGAAACATCTCCCCGCTCATCTCTGGTATCAGCTATCCAATTAGTATATAGATCAGAGATCCATTACAATTTTATCTATTAGCGTTTTTAGCTGGGCTACACTTCTTCACCCTAGTGTTTCATGAGTGTAGGACGAATGCACAATAAAACTGTGTCAGTGATAACAGCGTACATGCTTATCGTGTCGTTCGGTACTTCGTTGCAGTGCTATCATGTAACATTTTAAAAATTAATATTTACCGCGGCACCCACGTATACCCTGTTTTACCGATCACGAAGATGCCGCCCGATTAACTTCACCTTAAAATAGTTTTAAAAGTACGAACTTATACTAAGGATCGACTCGGATGAGTTATCGACGCTCCAAACTACAATTTGTTCTCGCGTGCGGCCCGCGCGGCCGTCGCGGCAATCGTTTTGCTTAGAGTCTGTCTCGCGGGGGCGGGGGAGGGGCGCCCTGCGCCCCTAACGGCGATCCGCCTCCCCTCTATCCCGGCCCGAAGAGGTCGCGTAGGCGCCGGGCGAGTTTGGTGGACCGGGGGGGTGCGTCGGCGGCGGTGAGGTCGGCCAATAGCCCGGCGGTCCGTTTGGCCGGCTGCACCCGGCGAAGGACCGCGGGGACGGAGCGGCGGCTCGTCCGAGGGCGCGCCGAGACCTCCCCGAGAGACGGGGCGTCGGAGGGGGTCCGGGCGGCCAGCTCCGGGATGCCCTTACCCGGCGTAGGCGGGCAGGTAGAGCCCCGGGCGGCCCTCGGGCTGAGGATCGGGGTCGCCGACCGCGCGGCCCGTGGTGTCGGCGGCAGCGGCGTGACCGGCGTCGGGGGCGGCGTCGGCTGAGCGGGCGACCGCGGGAGTACCCGCGGCGGCGTTGCCGGCTCCGGTGGCGAGGACGGCCTGGGGGTTGGCGCTGGCCGAGCGGGCGACGGGGGGAGTGCCCGCGGCGNGCACGGGGTGAGCGCTAGGCGAGCGGGCCTGGCGCGCCGGCGCATGGGTCACGGGGACACGTGCGCCGGTCGATGGCCCCGGGGCGCTCAACCCGCCGGCGAGAGCCGGGTGGGCCTTGAGGGCGAGGGCGGCCGGATAGGACTCGGGCATGGGAGCGAGGGAGAGGGAGCGAGGGTCGGCCCGGCGACGGCTCCTTAGTGCTCCCGAATGAGCGCCGCGGCTGTACCCGTTGGGTCGGAGTGCAGCCCACGGCGCCTTCGGAGCACTTGAGGTCGTCGGGCCTGGAGGGAAAGGAATTTTTATGTATTTTGGGAAACTTTCCGCGAGGGCTGGCGGTGCAGGCGTGCAACAAATTGAAAAGTATTTGATGAGTGGTTAACAAAAGTTAGTCCAATCTTGTTGGAATTTAAATGTAAAATAGGTCAAAAACCGTAGCCATCCTCTCGACGAGGGCCTCACCTCGTGGTAGTTGGCGATGGCCACCCTCTGGCCCTGCTGGCCGGCGAACCGACTGATGAGCGCGGTGATTCCCCAGGAGAACCTGAACTCCAGATCCTCGTGGAAGTCGGCACACAGGTTGTCGCAGTTGAGTCTGTAGAGAATCTCGAAGGGCTCCCTCCTAGGCAGGATGTTCAGCGAGAGCTGCCTCTTGTTCTCCGGCAACAGGGTGGCCATTCGCTCCGTCATCTCGCGCTGGGAATTCTCGATATTGAGCGCCAAGGCGGTGCTCAGGCGCGCCCTGAGGTTCGACCCTGAAACCAGATGACGTTCGATCACCGTTCTACCATAAAATAATACAAGGAGCCATAATGCCAATAACCGGTTCCACAGAAAGTGGAGCCACCCCAGAATCGGGACCCAGGATCTCAGATTTTCACTGATCTAACGATGCGAGCGCTACTTGCGGAGAATAAGGAAACTCCGATCCTATATGACCAAAACATTTCCTACCGACGTAAATTACTTAAAATGCTTTTAATTTTGCAATTAAGGTGTGCAAAGCGAAATTACAATCCGCGCATGATATACAGAATGTGATGTTATTAACCATGAAGTAGTGTAAGGAGATATTACGTGAATGGTCGGTTCCACAAAAAGTGATGATCTCAGATTTTCGCTGATCTAACGACGCGAGCGCTGTTTGCGGAGAATAAAGAAACTCCGATCCTATATGACCAAAACGTTTCCTACCGACGTAAATTACCTAATATACTTTTAATTTTGCAATTAAAGTCCCGATGTCGGAGGTGTCAAAAGAGTTGCAGATTGTAGAAGTTCCGTTTTTCATTTTGGATTTCGGCCTAATAATCCTAATAATCCATTAACATGAGTTTTTGTAGTGTCAACACCATGAAGTAGTATAAGGAGATATACCGCCAATGATCGGTTCCACAGAAAGTGGAACCACCCCAGAATCGGGACCCAGGATCTCAAATTTCCACTGATCTAACGATGCGAGCGCTACTTGTGGAGAATGACGAAACTCTGGTCCTATATGACCAAAACATTTCCTACCGACGTAAATTACTTAAAATGCTTTTAATTTTGCAATTAAGGTGTGCAAAGCGAAATTACAATCCGCGCATGATATACAGAATACGATGGTATTAACCATGAAGTAGTGTAAGGAGACATTACGCGAATGGTCGGTTCCACAAAATGTGATCTCAGATTTCCACTGATCTAACGATGCGAGCGCTACTTGCGGAGAATAAGGAAACTCCTGTCCTATATGACCATAACATTTTCTACCTACGTGAATGACCTAATATGCTTTTAATTTTCCAATTAAGGTGCGCAAAGCGAAATTACTATTAATTAAATTTTGTATATTGATAAAAATATGAGAGCTCGACGTCATTTTGGTTCTGGTCTGGGCTAAGTTAAGAAATTCTTTCCAAAGATCCAAATTTTGAATGTGCCAGGACAATTCTTAGATGATCAGGAGTGATGTGTCAAGGTTTCGGACAGTTTGGTCTAATACCCTTAAAAAGAAGTGTTGTACTCAAATCGACCGATTTGAAGGGGGTTTCACTTCACCTTAATGATCCAAACTCTACCGAGTTTCCTGGGTCGGTACAAGAATTTCTTTTCTTATCCTCTAGAAGGTGACTTTTTCGCTCAGGGTATGAAATGCGATGTGCCGATGTGCATTAACCACTTGCGCTATAAAGACGTGCCACGTACGTCGAGATGCTTTTGTTCCAAAACTGCCAGCGACATGTATACCACGTCGTTAGGCATTTGTCGCAGAAACAAAATCGACGTGTCCGGCACGTCGGCTAACAGTTGGATCGTTCATTATTCGAGCTACAGTTCCAGAGTGCACGACATCGCGTAGCGTCATCGATATCTTGGAAATATTTCAGAATCGATAGGGCATGTTGTACGGATGTTATACCGCATGTTATATTGTAGAGCGCGGCACGGCAACTGAAAATTAAATCGTAGAGCAAGTGGTTAACACGTTCCCTGCCAGACCGTTTTTTGAAGACTTTCCGTTCAGGCCGCGTGGGGCGTATACGCCCCACGATCAAATGAGCGCATCAGCAATAGTATTAAGATGCCCATAATTGACTGCATAATGAATTTTTAAAAAATTCTTCATTTTACAATGATAATACCAAATGGCTTGAACGGAAAGTTCAGCGTGGGGCGCATACGCCCCACGCGGCAGGAAACGTGTTAAATTCGTCACAAGACTTTCCGCATGGAGTTTGCAGAAATCAACGGTCCAGCCAGTAGAGAGACCACTGACTCACCTAGACCGTTCTCCACATGCGAGTGCAGTTCCCGTTTATAGACGTTAAGAACCAGCGGCTCCGGGTGGAACGGAACATTGAACTCGTCCACGTGAACAGCCAGTCGGCGGATTTCCTCGCTCAGCGCCTTCGAAACGCGTTGCTCGACGTCCTCGACCATCCTGTGGATCTTGTCCTTCATCTCCTGGGTCAGCAGGATCAACTGCTGCTCGGTGAAGTTCAGCCGATCGTGGACCTCCTTCTTCACGTTGAGTCGCTCGCACCGCATCTTCTGCGTACGGTCCAGGATCTCATCCAGGGCTTGTCGGATCTCTCTAAAAAGATGAGACGGATTTAGAATTTCGAACTCTACCTGCACATATGAGCCGCTCAGTGCACACATTGATTAACTCCATAAAACAAAAAGTTGAGAAATGCGATGAAGTAATGTAGATTCTTTTTTAAAATTCCTATTATAATATAACTTCAAATATATAATGTGGAATACATAAATGCAGTTATAGTTTTCATCTAACGGTATATAAAATTAATAAGAAAGAATAGCCAAAAAATAATCGTCTGCATTTTATATCGACAAATGTTTTTGCAGGTATTAAATTTCCTCCCCTGTTCCTGTATGCCGAACCTTTTGTTCCGTTATGCTTTTGTAAATTTCGGGCCCATTTATCAGGATTACGACTTCTTTTCCTCCCAATCGATGTGTTTGTTGGGGAATTTGTACCGTTGCAATCGGATGAATCCGAGAAACATGATAAACGTCTTCTTGCCCCAGACTTTCTGCTGATAAATCGTATCGAAGAATCATCCCTGCTTTCCACATCCACATTGTTATTAGTTTCACTCATCTTGATTATAACGGTATAATATTTAGTTCTTTAAAAACAATCAGGGAGTAATGTTGAAAAGACCAAAAAATATGTAGTCCGTGTAATATTGGTGAACTATACGGTAACATTCAGCGTGAGAGATCACTGTTATACTAACTACCGTCTGCATTGCGCTTCTTTCTATCTGTTTGCTGATGTGATTTTATTACTCATATTGTTGAAAGGGGGAAAGCATCTTCGGCTGTTTAAAAAAAAAAGCGTCGATGTACGGCCGCAACAGATAATTCAATAATACTATACTGCCAGGTATTCGTCTACGATTTACATTAGAGTATGGAGTTAATCAAAATGGCTTCTGAAATAAATTACTTATTATTCAATGCCCAACAAAATTTTGCCGTTCAATGCTGTTAATCTCTATTAATCAGGAAAGATATTAGAAATATAAAAAGTTATGACTATACCAAGTGCTTTGACCCCTAAATTTAAGATTTTTCAAAAAGTGGAGTTAGTCGATGTGTGCACTGAGCGGCTAGTATAATCAGAGATAAGCGGGGAGATGTTTCACGCCATTGTTTGAAAGGGAGGCACGGCCCCCTAGCGCCCTCTACGCCCTTCACCCCTCTGTAAAAATCGGAACTACTTTCAAAGGGACGAAATCTTCATGATCGGTAAAACAGGGTACGCGTGGGTACCACTTCGTAACCTCAATAATCCACGCATAACTACTTTATTTGGCTTTTTCAACCTATGTTGACCCTGATACTAAAAGCGAAAAGGCGATAACTTCATTCTATCGATCCTGTGCCGTATTTGAAATCTGCAGACGGGTTTTTCTTTACCGATAGAGAACACTTCGCCCCTTTGAAAGCAGTCCCACGGCGCTAGGAAGCCGTGCCTCCCTTTCGACAATGACGTGAACATCTCCCCGGTCATCTCTGGTATAATATATGATATAATATAAACGGCAGCGGCGAAACGTTCCGTTTCACATCTACTCACGTGGCGATGTGCTTCCCGCGTTGCGAGTGCTGCTCGAATTTCGTTTTTACCGCGGACTTGGAGATGCACTCCTCGAACTTCCTCTCGAAATCCTGGAACTCGAAGTAGCGATTCTGGAACCCATCTGCAAGGGCGCCATCTACGGAAGAAGGGAGTAGCGTCGTTAACGAAGTACTATGTATCTATCCACAAGATTGCAAGAACTTTTTAAATCCCGAAAATATCCCTTCGTTTCATAAATGAATTTGAATAGCCCGCCAAATAATTTAGTTCGGGAAAAGGTTTACTCCAACCGAAGATGGCGGTAGTGCATAAGCGTTACACCCTAATACATGGCAGTGTCACCCCCCTGCCGTCGGCGGAACACAAGGAATTCCGTGGAATATATTGTGCCCCCCGGGGTGGATCCTGACGACGGGCACGGTGCGGGAGGGCTAGGGTGCGTAACCGATCCCCTAGCCTCCCCTAATGCGCCTAGGCTGGCCACTGTATGGTTTTTTAGTGAGTGCAAGCTCCACACTACCCTTGCTTCCCCGTAGGCAGCGAGGGCTAATACGTACTCTTAAGTTCGTAGTGTTTTTATTAAAGACTTTTATTATAAAAATGCTACGAACTTATTCCCCAACCTAATACGTACTGTTACGTCTGGGAGGGAAGAAATAAATTGATTATATTACGAAATAGACAAAGTTGATTTTTATTTCATTCTACGGTTATAACAAAAGGCTTGGATTTTCTGGGGTCCCCTGGTACTAACGCCTGGGCGTTATGGTCGCTGGGTTTTGGAATGTCGATGGGAATAAGTTCCCAATTGGGGGTACGCACTTCGACGCTCGTGAGTCGATGCGTTTTGGGACGAGGAACTGTCCTCGGAGTGGAGGTTTTGAGGAGCGCCTTGATGATCTCGAGGCGCTCCGCAGAAATTAAAAACACCCTTTCTGGAGGTGAAGGGGGTGCTGCCGGGGGTTGCTTTTGGGCCCTTTTCCTTGATCCTCTGTGTGGACGCCTACGGGTTGTGATTTTAGGCCTACCTTCTGCCTTAGCGAAGGTTACGAGGAGTTGATATTTCGTCCCGGATCGTCTGACCATCTTGTATAACAAGAAGATTGGCTTTCTTCCTCGCTCGTACTTGTAAAAATTTGTGGTGTCGCGAAATGCTCGTTGTCGTGAAAAAGTTCCCTGAGGACTGACATGAGGGTGCATAGGTGCGTCCCTTTTTATACGGTTCCAAAACTGCGTTGTTTCAAAATTCTAGTAGAGGGAGGACACTGCCCTCAACTTAACATTATCCATTTCTATAAGCTTTCTTACTTGTGTTAACAATATAAGTTCGAAGCCCTAAGTTGGGCTACCACTGGCCCGGGCCATCGTTGTCCTAGAGGATTATGAACAAGGGATTCTAGTTCTTATCACCTTTCGCATGGTGACGGTTACCTATTGTGAGCACGTTGCTAACACGTGATCGCTAGAAAATTGACAGTCGAGCGAGGATGATATTACACGATATTAATAACATAATATTTGGGAAAAGTAATAATTACGGCGCTTAACTTAATTAATATATGTGGTTGGAGGGGTGACGTTACGTGGGACGTAACAGTACTCTTAAGTTCGTAGTGTTTTTATCAAAGACTTTTATTATAAAAACGCTACGAACTTATTCCCCAACCTAATACATACTCTTAAGTTCGTAACGTTTTTATCAAAGACTTTTATTACAAAAACGCTACGAACTTATTCCCTAACCTAATACGTACTCTGAAGATCGTAGCGTTTTTATCAAAGACTTTTATTATAAAAACGCTACGAATTTATTCCCCGACCTAATACTTAGACTTACTGTGTGCCGGCTGCCCTCGGTGCTCCTCTATGCGCGCCTGCAGGGTCTCCTTTGCAGAGACGAAGAAGACGCGCTCCTCGGCGTCCTTCGGGGAGTAGACCTTGAGCTCGCGCGAGAGGAAGTCCACGGCTCGTTCCTGGTGCTGCGCCCTGACCTGTGCACAAGAACCATCGGTCAGACCCCGATCAGTCGAGTAGGGGATAGTTTTCTTTAAGATTTTCCATACTCTCGTCCGAATTCTCACGGTATTCTTCAAGACAAATAGGATACATATGTTCCTTTTTACTTCGAGTGTCGCCGTTTCCAGATTTATGCCCGGTTCCACCAACCTCGGTTAAATCATTCATTACCTAATCCTAGGTTAAAGTTAACGTCTAAGTTCATCATGGGTTAAAAACGTAAACGTTCCACCACATTTATTTGGAGCGGGATTAACTAATCGTATACACCATTCGGAGTAAACTGAATTGTCGGTGAATGCATTTGTATGATTGGCTGATACTCCCATAACAAAAAAGTAAGATAGATGCGGCATTATCGAAACACGAAGTCCCACAAGCTTCGTGCAAGAAGTTCTTTGACAGATGTTAGCCTCAAGAAGTAAAGTTCATTGGTTAAAAATTAATATCAAATATTTTCAAGCGTACTTCGATCGTTAAAAAAAATTGTAAACAAAAATTAAAAGCGTCTTCATCCGTTTTGTCATCAGAAGATGTTGATACATTCTCAATATAATCCATGTTTTCCTCATGTTTGTGCAGTTTTTAGGTTAAAGTTCGATTATCCGAAGCTAAACGATCGAATTCGGCTGGCTAACCTAAACGGCAGTTAATGAGAATTAACCCGCAGTTAAAATGTGGCGAAACGTGCAATTCGCTGTAACCGAGGATTAGCTTTTTGACCGAGGTTTGCGGAACTAGGCATAGTGTACATTTAGATTAAGGTGAAGTGAAACACGTCGAGGAACTTGATCGACGTCGATAAAGACTTTTCTAAATGCCTACGTTGCCGACGTTGGTTTTTATATTGAGAGCTATATCGATTTATATTGGGTATTGTACCAAATGGCATACTCCATCTATCGCTTTCGTACAATATAATAATTATAAAGAAATCGAAGTAAAACTCCAGAAATCCTCTGAATTCATGCTTTCATGGGCCCTAATTGACTGCAGAGGGACATCTTGCGCCATCTGTGATTTCCAGGTCAATTAAATTTTCACTCCGAGACCTCGTATTACCATCGTTTTAGCAAAGAAGCGCATACGACACTTTTTTTGCCTTTATCCCGTTCAAATGCGAGTTTGTCGATTACCAGAGTGTTCTAAATTGTCGTAAAATTGTCCTGACCATTTCATTTCTCATATCAGAGCCTTCGATAATTGTATATTGATCGAAATATGAGAGCACGACGCCATTTTGATTCTAGTCAAGATTAAGTTAAAAAATTGTTTTGAAAAACCAAATTTTGAAAGTGTCAGGACAATTCTTAGATGATCACTTGTCATGTGCCAAAATTTCGGACAGTTTGGTCCAATACCCTTAAAAAAAAAGTGTATTCGAATCGACTGACTTCAGGGGGGGTTTCACATCACCTTAAAAAGTGTCCGCAGTATCGGTTACACTTTTCTAGCATTTTGCACTTGCCCAGGATCGAGTGTAGTAAGTGTAAAGAACGAGTACGCTCAATATAGAAGTACTCACAAAACGAATAAGCGATGGCTTGCCATTTCCGGCAACGTGAACGCCAAAATGCGTACTATTCAAGGTAGAAAAGGTGCAAGTAACCCGAACGAAAGAATCAAAGAAATCACGTATATTACGTGACGTATTATACCTACCCAACCCTGTCCCTTACCAAAGAATTCATAAGTCCCATAGAAGCCCAGATCCTATGTTAGCGCTTGATGCTCTAAAAGTTAGCTAACAAACCAGAAGTGGGGGTAAAAGAGAGATCGCATGTGTTAGTCAACGATATCTTACATACAAGAGAAAGAGAGACGCATATAGAAAGGCAAGTACTGTGTGTAAGATAAAGAAAGAATGCAATTCGCTATATATCGCCATGAGATTAAGAGAGATGGAGAGTATGATTACAGCGCCGCCATCCGTTGACTAACAAACCAAAAGTGGGGGTAAAAGAGAGATCGCACGTGTTAGCCAGCGATATCTTACATACAAGAGGAAGAAAGACGCAAATAGAAAGGCGAGTATTGGGGGTAAGATAAAGAAAGAATGCAATTCGCTATGTATTGTCATAAGATTAAGAGAGATGGAGAGATGATTACAGCGCCGCCATCCGTTGTCTAACGTACTATTTAGAAAGCATCGAACGTCCGTATCCTTTTGGGCTTCCATGTTAGCGCTTGATGAGTTAAAGTTGGCTAACAAACCAGAAGTGGGGGTAAAAGAGAGATCGCATGTTTTAGCAAACGATATCTCACATACTGGAGGAAGGGAGACGCATATAGAAAGGCGAATATTTGGGATAAAGCAAGGAAAGAATGCAATTCGCTATGTATCGCCATGAGATTAAGGAAGATGGAGAGTATGATTACAGCGCCGCCATCCGTTGGCTAACGTACTATTCAGCGAGCATCGAACGTCCGTATCCTTTTGGACTTCCATGTTAGCGCTTGATGCTCTAAAAGTTAGCTAACAAACCAGAAGTGGGGATAAAAGAGAGATCGCATGTTTTAGCCAACGATATCTCACATACGGGAGGAAGAGAGACGCATATAGAAAGGCGAGTATTGGGTGTAAGATAAAGAAAGAATGCAATTCGCTATATATCGCCATAAGATTAAGAGAGATGGAGAGTATGATTACAGCGCCGCCATCCGTTGGCTAACGTACTATTTAGCGAGCATCGAACCGTCCGTATCCTTCTGGGCTTCTATGGAGACTTCTGAATTCTTTGCTCTCGCTACACTCGAGTGCAAAAAGTGCAGCTAAGCCGAAGAAGAGTCATGCATTCTACGCACAGGGCGGCGGCGCGTCGGATTAGCCACCGGAGACGCTTACCTCGGCCTGCTCGTTGACCAGCTAAAGGATAAAGCGGGACATTAAAACATTGAGGGACCGAGTCGCTTCGAGACGCGCCGATCGCGTCCACTCCTCGAGGGCCTCGAGAAGTCGACGAGCGAATCGCGCCTGTACGTACAATGAGTCCGAGGAGGAAGAGTCATGGTCGCGAAAAAAAATCCAGACCCTGGGACCCGATTCTCGAGTTCAAGCGGACCTTTTTCGCATATACGAATAGATCACTGATCTGTATACCAGAGATGAGCGGGGAGATGTTTCGCGCCATTGTTTGAAAGGGAGGCACGGCCCCCTGGCGCCCTCTACGCCCTTCACCCCTCTGGAAAAATTGGAACTACTTTCAAAGGGTCGAAATCTTCGTGATCGGTAAAACAGGGTATACGTGGGTGCCGCGTCGTAATCTCAATCATTCACGCATAACAACTTTATTTGGTATTCGTAGTCTTCTTTCCCAACATACGTTGACCCTGATACTAAAAATGAAGAGGCGATAACTTCATTCTGTCGATACTGGGCCGTATTTGAAATCTGCAGACGGGTTTTTCTTTACCGACAGGGAACATTTCGCCCCTTTGAAAGCAGTTCCACGGCGCTAGGGAGCCGTGCCTCCCTTTCGATAATGGCGTGCAACATCTCCTAGCTCATCTCTGTATATATTAACTGGATTGCTGATAATAGAGTTTTAAGCGCGGTAAGTTGCGTCAGAGACGATGAGACATTTCAGGCAACTTGTCGGTAATTTCTCCAAAGCTTCTTTTTATCGAGAAATTATGAGAATTTATATTTTTAGGACCGAACGAACGAGAGGTTCCGATTGGCTATAGAGAAACATCGGAGAGGGGAAACGTCAGAAACGAAGAGAAATTTCCGGCAACTTGTCGGTAATTTCTCCAAAGCTTCTTTTTATCGAGAAGTTATGGGAATTTACGTTTTTAAGACAGAACGAACGAGAGGTTCCGATTGGCTATAGAGAAATATCGGAAAGAGGGAGCGTCAGAGACGAAGAGAAATTTCCGGCAACTTGTCGGTAGTTTCTCCAAAGCTTCTTTTTATCGAGAAATTATGAGAATTTACATTTTTACGATAGAGCGAACAAGGGGTTCCAATTGGCTATAGAGAAATATCGGAGAGGGGGAGCGTCAGAGACGATGAGAAATTTCCGGCAACTTGTCGGTAATTTCTCCAAAGCTTCTTTTTATCGAGAAATTATGAGAATTTATATTTTTACGACAGAGCGAACGAGGGGTTCCGATTGGCTATCGAGAAACATCGGAGAGGGGAAACGTCAGAAACGAAGAGAAATTTCCGGCAACTTGTCGGTCATTTCTCCAAAGCTTCTTGTTATCGAGAAGATATGGGAATTTACGTTATTAGGACAGAACGAACGACAGGTTCTGATTGGCGATAGAGAAACATCGGAGAGGGGAAGCGTCAGAAACGATGAGAAATTTCCGGCAACTTGTCGGTAATTTCTCCAAAGCTTCTTTTTATCGAGAAATTATGAGAATTTACATTTTTACGGTAGAGCGAACGAGAGGTTCCGATTGGCTATAGAGAAACATCGGAAAGGGGGATGAGAAATTTCCGGCAACTTGTCAGTAATTTCTCCAAAGCTTCTTTCTATCGAGAAATTATGAGAATTTACATTTTTACGGTAGAACGAACGACAGGTTCCGATTGGCTATAGAGAAACATCGGAAAGGGGGATGAGAAATTTCCGGCAACTTGTCGGTAATTTCTCCAAAGCTTCTTTTTATCGAGAAATTATGAGAACTTACATTTTTACGACAGAGCGAACGAGGGGTTCCGATTGGCAATAGAGAAACATCGGAGAGGGGGAATTTCCGTTGTACCGTTCTTGTAGCCAATCAGAACCTCTCATTCATTTCGTCGCATGACCCCGTCGGAAAAAAACAAAATATCGGCTCGTTTTCAAACAAATCGCCTGAAATTTCCCGTGAAGTTGTACATACGAGAATATCTTTAGCTAGAAGTAAACAAAACCCTATAATAAATATCTTCTAATGGTATGTATTACTCTTTAACTTGGACTTTGAAGTGCATCGAAAAGAAACGTTATTTAAACGAATAAACCAATAGTATAAATAAAAAAAAAATCAACGTTCTCATAAATTATCGATATTCTCGGTAACTTACGGTATATTTCACGGTTCAATTTTAGAATTCTAGCTAATACCCTACAAAATGGCGGGACGTTTTGAAGCGATCACAGCGCCTCTAGTGACGGCCACGTCAACTAATATCGTAATATTAGCGCATGCGTCTAAACAACGCGTCTTTTAATCATACATAGTATAAAGGTCAAATTAATTTACTGGAAGAAACTAATTGTCATTTTTATTCAAATACTTACGAGAAAAAAGATAACCGTTTGGTTTAGTTGAAGCTTTCTTACGATATGTCCAATGAACCATTTTACGCGTAAATTATGTCTCTTCGGTCCTTTATACCTTAAACGTTTACTTTCGCGAGTTGACGGTTCAAAACATTTGCGCATGCGCATTCGATACTTATTTAGTATCGCAGTCCCCGTCTAGAGGCACTGGGGTGCCTTCAATTTGTCGAAGTCCTCTCCGTATAAAACAAATAGGTATCAACTATCCAGTTAGTACATAAATCAGTGGGCGAAAAAGAGCTTGCGATCGACTCGCTTCGAGAGGCGCTCCAAGACGGACGAGAAGATGCGCGAAGGAGGCGACGAGGAAGTGTCTCGCTTACCTGGTCCAGGAATTCCGGCTCCGAGGCGGAAGCATCCCACCGATTGTTCAGGATAAAAATGTTCGGCTTCGACAGCTTCGTCGACACTTTATGGAAGAAGTTTTTCTCCTAAAAGAAGAGACACTGTTAGAGAACGATTGCTTCGCTAAGTAAACGTTGACTTCTTCGGACTGTTAGCATGGGCACGAGATGCAGCATATTTGGATCAACCGATACTACCAAACTATGTATTATATTAGGAAAAAGATATTTTCTAATTGAATAGAAGAGAAAGGAAAACATTTTGGAGTTTTTAAAGCCCCCATTCTGTACTTTAGAGGTTAAGACACGTAACTATCAAGTGACTTACGGACAGGTATACACTGCCGTGACATAAACTCACCGTAACCATTAATGTGGACTCTGCGTTGGCAACCAACACAAAAACATCGGCGTCCAGGCAATGTTTATCGATCCATTCATCGAGGTTAGGTGTTACGTCGACTCCAGGACTGTCAACGAAGACCACGTCATCCCTCAGGAGAACACACTTTTCCTTTGGCCAGAACACTCTCACAAGGTGGCTTTCGCATAATTTTTCTTTACACAGTGCATGACCAAGCTGCGCCACCGATTCCACAGGTTGCTTTGCACTAGACCCTTCCGTCACAAGGTACGACTCGTCGTTGTCGGAACCCTCCACTTGCAGGAAGCAGTTGGTCGTGTGCCCGATACCACTGGGTAGAATCTTTTCCCGTAGCATAGCGTTGATAACTGTACTTTTCCCATTGCTCGTCCTGGAAATGATCAAATAACACGTTTAATGCCACCGATATTTTATTATATTAGGAAGAATAATTATACCTACTACCTAATATTATACCTACCCAACCGTGGTTATTACTATTGTATCTGAAGAATAGTTATGTGAAACATTGGAGGAACTTACCTCCCAAAGAAGGCCACCTTCATGTGATCTCGTTTGAGCACATCTCGAATGCCATGGACTTTTCCCACGTAGGCTTTAATCTTGGTCGCTTCTTCCTCGTTGACGACATCGCGATCTCCGCGCAGAGCTGTACAAAACGTAGTCCATAAGCCATGATTACTTTCCTCATTCCTTATCAGGTGTACAAATAAATTTGAACCCTTTTTTTCACCAATGTATCATTTATTTCTATAGGACTGAAATCCCTGTACATTTGATCTCGCTCAAAAATGTATCTCGCTTGAAACTCTACCGAGTTTCTTGATTCTACGTTAAGGTCAGTACTTTAAAATCCCAAAATGGCAGAAAAGATTTATAATTTATATTAAGATTATAATTGATCGAGTGTAAAAGTACAAAAGCAAATTTAATTAATACTTACTTTCCATGAACCCAACGACATCCTGGACGTAGTCTTCGATCTCAAGGAATATATCATTGATCTTCTTCTTGGCCTTGACAAAAATCTGCAGAGGAGAATTTTCGATTCTAGCATCGGACGTACGAAACTGACCATCTCCTCCGATCATGGACACGGTACGCTCAATGTAGGCAGCCATAACTCAGGACTTCGCGGACCGGGATATGCGAGTCGAGTGAGATGCAGTGCGACGCGGGCGAGAGGACTCGCCAACGAGGTGCAGAACACGCGGGGATGACTGAAACAAAAAAAGAAGCGGAGGTTAGGGACTCTCTCTCGAGAGGTGTATAATTTAAAAATATCTCACCTAAAATCCAGTAAACATCACTTCTCTTGATTTCTAAATATGCAAAAACGTCTAGACAAACGGAAAAACTCACCGCTCGCCTTCAAAAACAGTTATTAATCTCTGATCTTGAGAATATATCAACTAAAATGCACGCATGGCAATTCGTTGCGGCATGTCTACATCTTCATACTCTAAATCTGAGATTGATATATACACCGGAATGTTTCCACTGCATTAATAAATTTATTGTACTTTTTCATTACCTAGTTCTCCCAAGAACTAACCTAACCTATCCTTAATCACAGGACTGGGTGAATATTTCACATTGAAGACGCACGATCTGTGGGCATCTCGGTCGTTACATTCTCAACTTCAAATGTGAATAACTCTATTTCTAAAGGTGAGCGGTAAGTCTTTTTTCCATTGATTTAGTATTTTTGTCTCAATTGAGAAAGGAAGCGAGTTTAACTGCATTTTAATCGAGCCCCGTATTCTTAAATTTCATCAAAGTGTAACGGGCACGCGAGAGGTCGTCCTTTCCTCGACGACATCTCGGCACACCTGATGGTAAAATTTAAGAATACGGAATTCACCTAGAATGCAGTCAAAATCACTTCTCTTCTCAAATGAGATAAAAATATCTAAACCAATGAAGAGACTCACCGCTTTTTAGAAACATTTATATTTGAAGTTGAGATCATAACGACTGACGTGCGCGTAGATCGTGATCTCCGATGTGAAATATTCACCGACTCCTGTAATTGAAGATAGGTTAGGTTAGTTTTAGGGGGAGCTAGTTAACGAAGCAGTACAATAAATTTATTAACATAATAGAAACATTCCAGTGGATATATCAATCCTGGATTTAGAGTACGAAGACATAGTCATGCCGCAACGTATCGCCATGCATTACAGTCGACAGATTCTCAAGTTCAGGGGTTAATGTCTACTTTTAGAGGCCAGCAGTGAGTTGTTTCGTTTTTTTAAACGTTTGTAGCACACTTGCAAACCAAGGGAAGTGATTTTTACTGGATCTTAGATGAATCATCCTTAAATTACTCCCGTCTGAGGCGCACGTTGTAAGGAAGTCGGGATGCCGTTGCAAATTAAAAAGAACGACCTCGAAACGCGGAGCCGCGTGAGAAGAAGGACGAAAGACGAACCTTCTTGTCCTTGGTCATCGATTCCTCCTTGGAGCTCGAGGTTGAGGCCACGGAACGGTCGCAGGTCCTTTCGGCCTCAAGACATCTCCTCGGCGGTCCTGCCGCCTTCTAGAACACTCTACGAACGACTCGCACTGCGACGGTCGGCGCGAGTCCAAAGCGCAGCCTCTCTCGCCGATCACTTATTACGCCGAATTTCCCAAGTTGCGCACACGAATAGCACCGAATGGCACGGACAGCACCTACGAGAACTTCCGACCGCTTCCGACCATCCTATCGCTGCCACGGGGAATGAGCAATTGAGAGGCATCTGTCAAAGGATTTTCAACTTTTCAGGAAAAGGACGGAGAGGCTTTATAAGTAGTACGAGAACTACCCGATGGCGGCGTGGTGGTTTCTTGTAGGGGCGCAGGGGTGAGCACTGATAAAGGATTCTGGGCGTTTATTGCGTATTTTTGACGAGAGCGCTCACTTCTCGCACTTTCATGTCGCGTGGGTTTTTCGACGAATTATGTATTCGCTATATGAAAGAACGAGTTTACTAACATTTCTGGTCTAGTAATATTGCAAATAAAGGTTTATTTGACGAATTACGTATTCGCTATATGAAAAAACGAGATTACTAACATTTCTGGTCTAGTAATAGTGAAAATAAAGGTATATACCTTGTAAACCGAAAATTGTGAGAGGTGTGGGTTATAGGCAGGTTTATTACGTATTTTTGACGAGCGCGCTCACTTCTCGCACTTTCATATCACGTGGGTTTTTCAACGAATTACGTTTCGCTATATGAAAGAACGAGATTGCTACACTTCCGGTCTAGTAATATTGCAAATAAAGGTATATACCTTGTAAACCGAAAATTATGAGAGGTGTAGGTTATACGCAGGTTCATTACGTATTTTTGACGAGCGCGCTCACTTCTCGCACTTTCATGTCACGTGGGTTTTTCGACGAATTATGTATTCGGTATATGAAAAAACGAGATTACTAACTCTTCCGGTCTAGTAATATTGCAAATAAAGGTATATACCTTGTATGTAAACCAAAAATTGTGAGAGGTGTAAGTTATAAGCAGGAAAGGCGGGAAGAGGGAAAGCCATTAAAAGTAAAGAAGAGGACTGGAGTCTATTCATATTTTTTAAATATGTATTACATTCATATTTACATGTACTATAACTAGAAGTTCAACGATATAATTTTCTTATCATGGCATGTAAGCATGAATTATTTAACAGTTTACAATGTTTAATAATGTTATACGTATAACCTCGCAATAACGAAAACTAACCTGTACATACTAGTAAATTCTCTTTCTTCTCACGAAGATGGGTCTGAGACATCACGTAATTCCTTTCTTCTTCTAATAAGGTTATTATTACATCCCCGAATACGATTGTTGCCAAAAATCAAAACACCCAGGTTTTCCATTTTGAATTTCGTGTCACAATCCGTGGAAGATGGCGTTCGCGGCGTTTATTTTTCTATCTTTTCATGTACGCTTCACTATTTCGCTTAAAAATTTTTGCCGAGCCATTTCACATGAAAGGTCTCGCATTTTCACCACCAAAAACGTTCCGTAATAACATCAGCTACTCATTTTTCACATTTTCGCTCAATTTGCTTTACGTAATAGACCCCCTGATGTATGTATCAACTGTGTTTTATACTCTATGTCCAAAGGAGTTTGTGGTGAGACGATCCATGGCGAAACAGATACCTTTTGGGACTCACTCGTTGATCTGAGGTTAAAATAAACGACAAACTTAATCGATGGTTAAAGGTATTTGCGTTCCATAACAGATTTTTAACTAGGGTTTACGAAAACCTATAATCCACTTAACTCCAGACTTGCTGCGAATTTCCTTTAGAACCCGTTCAATGATTGGTTCGTTATTATAAGTTCAGAGGAAGAGGCGCGGTGGCCAAATACTGGGGATACTGAGAAATTCCCATTACATTAATTTTGTCAGTTTTGATTTTAGTTACCGAAGATATAGTTTCAATGATGGCAACGAAAAAAAGAGGCGCCAATTTCTCACATGTTGAGAAACAAAGATTGGTGGAGTACGTTACGTTGTATAAAGACATTATTGAAAATAGAAAAACAGACGCAGCATCGGTGAGGAAGAAGGACGAATGCTGGAATAACGTAGCATGTAGATTCAACAGCGATGAGGTTTCCCAACAGAGATCGGTGGAATCACTGAAGATGTGTTGGGAAAATTTGAAAAAGAAAACAAGAAAGCAGTTCATGGATGTCCATAGGGATTTGTACGCAAGAGGTAACCGTTGTAAATTTTAACAAATGTGGTAAGAATGCTACTATTTTACTAATAAATCATATTAATATCTCTTTAGGTGAGCGAAGGACGCTGATGGAAGATGATCCAATATGCAAACGTATCAAAGAAATAATTAAACCAACAGGTAGATTCAACGATAGATTGGACAGCGGAGAAATGTCTCAAGCATCGGAAGAACAGGATAAAAAGAATGATTTTCATAACGAGAACGACTATATTATCGAGGAGGTACGTACGTTCTCAGATTTTATATACAATTTCTAAATAATCAAAGTACGCGTGAAAATATTTTATATTAATTCTTAACCAAAGAACTGTACTTCTTGAGGCTAGCATCCATCAAATAAGTTCTTGCACGAAGTTAGCGGGACTTTGTCTCTCGAAAAGGGCGCATCTATCTTGTTTTCTAGTTAGGTTATTATTAGGTTGTCCCATAAGTTCCTCCCGCATCGTGTATTCATGTCCTATGAAAAAAAGGGAAGAAACTTATGAGACAACCTAATATATTGTAACCAACGTTATGTTATTTGTTAGTTTTAAGTTACGTAACTGTTAGGTTTGGTGTTCAGTGGGGATTGTTAAGTTATACCCGTTGGTGGCCTGTAGGTTGTACAAAACATTTCCAAGTGCTTCCATCGAGGGCGCTATAATTGATGCAAAGAATTCAGAAGTCCCATAGAAGCCTAAATCGTATGTCAGCGGTAGATGCTCAAAAAGTTAGCTAACAAACCAAAAATGGGGGTAAAAGAGTGATCGCACGTGTTAGCCAACGATATCTCACATACTGGAGGAAGAGAGACGCATATAGAAAGGCGAATATTGGATGTAAGATAAGGAAAGAATGCAATTCGCTATATATCGCCATAAGATTAAGAGAGATGGAGAGATGATTACAGCGCCGCCATCCGTTGGCTAACGTACTATTTATCGAGCATCGAACATCCGTATCCTTCTGGGTTTCTAGGGAAATTTCTGAATTCTTTGGTAGATATCTGCCAGATATCTACTACTCGAACTACGAGATAACTTTATCTGGCGGATAACTCTTAACTGAAAGGGAAAAAAAACCAAACCGAAAGACATCTCATAGATATCTTCCGGATAACCTTGTCGGGAACTTATCCATAGATGAAAAAATCGGGCATTAGATGTTAACTTTAACCTACGATTAGGTAATCAATGATTTAACCGAGGTTGGTGGAACATAAAACGTGCACAATAACTAAAACCAATGTTCAATATGTAGGTATACACCCAACTAGATGATGCTGAGAGTTCTGAATCCAACATAGACTTGTCAAAATGGAGCCCAAAAGCGAGCAAGGAATCAGACACGAAGAACGCTATGATAGAAAGGAAAAGAAAACGCCAAGAAGATGAAACAACAGAGGTAAAGGAAGAAAAATACGAAGAAGATGAAGAAGAAGAAGGAATAAGAGAAATTCCTTCGACACTAAGATTGAAACGCAGCAGATATGAACAAAACAATTTGCATAAAATATTAGCGTCATCAAAAAGTACAAGTGCCTCCCCCCGAAACAAATCAATTACAGAATCGGTTCTAAGTAAATACAAATTAATAGAACATTTAAGAGAAGACGCGAAGATAAAATCACAACTAGAAATAGATATTTTAAAAATACAATTAGAAAAAGAGAAGATAGAGCTGGCAGCTTCAAAAAAGAAATTATTATTATACGACCGCATAATAGATGGCGAAATACCTGTGCATATTTTGTGAATAGCTTCACCGTTTTATATTGTCTTATCGATTCATAATTCGTGTTTTTAGTATTATTGTGTATTGTATTTATGTAATTAATGTAAATATAAGTATATGACATTCTTTTTTTATCTTTTCAAGGATATTCAACAGACGGATGAAGGTATTACTTGATGTAAAAAACAATGTTACGTTCGTCAATTTATTTTGCAAAATATTAATAGAAAAAACATTTCGCAGTAGTTTTAACCGTACAAGTTTCTATAAACTGTAAATATCATCTTGATATAACATGTATATAAATTTTATCTTCTGTGGTTCTCACACTTTTATTTTACTCATCTGCAATAAAGAATCAAATACATATGGCATCCTGACCACGAAAAGCGATATTTAGGTAAACAATTGTTACCTCGGAAAATAACCATTAAGGTGAAGTGAAACACGTCGAGGAACTTAATAAACGTCGGTAAAAAACATTTTTCCTAAATACCTACGTTACCGACGTTCGTATTTGTATTAACAGTTGTATCGAATTATATTGGGTATTGTACTAAATGGCATACTCCATATATCGCTTCCGTACAATAATTATATATAAAGAAATCGAAGTAAAACTGGAAATCCTCCGGATTCGTGATTTTTGATGCCCCAATTCACTGTAGAGTGCCACCCTGCGACATCTGTGATTTCCCTCTCAACTAAATTTTTACTCCGAGACCTCGTATTACCATCATTTCAACATAACAGCGCATAAGACACTTTATTTAACTTCGTCCCCTTCAAATGCGAGTTTCTCAATTACCAGAGTGTTCTAAATTGTTGTAAAATTGTCCTGACCCTTTCGTTTTTCATATCAGAGCCTTCGATAATTGTATATTGATCGAAATATGAGAGCTCGACGCCATTTTGGTTCTGGTCTGGACTGTTAAAAAGTTTTTTTCAAAAATCCAAATTTTGAAAGTGTCAGGATAATTTCTAGGTGCTCACGATTCATGTGTCAATGTTTCAGGTAGTTCGATCCAATACCCTTAAAAAAAGTGTCTTATTCGAATCGACTGATTTGAGGGGGGTTTCACTTCACCTTAAGGTGATGTGAATGTGGCGTCGAAGAGGTTTTGTTTATATAACTTCTCTCCCAATACGGTTTACCGGATAGATTGAAACTTTGCAACGCTAATAGGGAGACTATAAGGAAGGTCCTGAAACTCATGAAATTTCAATTCTTTTCAAATTTGTTTATGGGTATTTTAAAAATAGTTTAGAAAAAATGAAATTTCGCGAGTTTTAAGACTTACCTTAGGGTCTCCATATTCACGTTTTAAAGTATGAAACTATTTGAGATACCCAGTTCGTAGAAAAGTTTTATGAACAATTGAGCTTACGGTTGCCGCTTTCACATCCCCTTAAGGTGTTATGTTCTACTATATTTGTCAAAAATAGATGATTTGAGCTTTTCGTGGAGCAATTTCAGCAATTTCTGCAGTCAATTCAATAAGATAAATGTATGGCTAAATTTGTGTACACCGAAGGTGATTTGAGGAGATTTAGAATAGCATAGAAATGGAATATTACAGAGCCAGATGGAAAGATATGGAAAATACATTCACCAACAATTGTCCTGGGGGTAACGTCATGTTTTTCGAGCAAAAATTTAGTTGCAGCTGAACGTCACAGATGGCGCCGTTGGTCCATTAGATGATAAAAAGTCATGAATTCACGGGATTTCGACAGTTTTACTTCGATCTCTTTACAATTATTCTGCTGAAATTATATAAGGAACGCTTAATTTCGTATAATTCTCAACGTAGACTGCAAAAGACCTCAACATAAATATAAATATCGGTAACGTGACGCGCCAGCTCAGGTTACCATTTGAATATCCAAAATGGCGTTATTACTAAAAAGGGTATGGATGAATTTTATTTTATTGACGTTGATTATATTTCTCAGCGCCTTTCATATCACGTTGAGAAACTCATTCGATTCAGTCATTCTAAAAGTAGTTTCAGCAGGATTTCTAAATTAATGTATGAAGCACTTACGGTAGCAGAAGTTTCAATATGAAAAACGAGTTTCCTCGTAAAGCAATGACACGTTTAATTGTTTCAATGACGTCGCTGTACTCTTTACAAGGTGCACATTCAGACAAGACTTCGGTCATCTTGAACAGATTCTTCAACATGTCCGGATCAGACTCAATATCTCCCACGTCTGCTAGGTATTTGTATCGATTCAAATTTCTGAGAGCTTTCTTAATTATTGCTACCTTACGTCGAGAAGTGATACACCGCTATGATCGAAAAAACAAATGAGCATTGGTTATAAAAATGCTGATTGTAAAGTAAAATATTTTGTATCGATCATCGATCCAAATATTTAGTGCATTCTTTGCAACAAGTGAAGTAATAAACCCCTTGAAACTTTTTATGCACAAAACTGTACCTATTGTCAGTTTAATAATGGATAGATCAATTTCTTTTATGTCATTTCTATGACTTACCGTATACGACATCAGTTCAAAGTACATAGGCCAATTCTCTTCGCATGGTTGACAACGGCATTCAAAGTAAAACTGCTCCTTGAGTTTCTTCTGTCTAGCCTCTTTTTCCATAGTGACATACATAAATCCGTAACTAACGAACAACTAAAATTTTTTATCAAATTACGAGTAAAGACCATCTTAATGATACATAGAAAACATATTTGATGAATTTTACTATGCCATAAAAAAGGTATCTCTTAAGGGGATGTGAAAGTGACATCTGAGAGGTCGATCGTACATGAAACTTTTGAAAAATACCTACAAACAAATTAAAAAAAAAAATTGAAGTTTCATGAGTTTTAGAATTTTTCCGATAGTCTCCATATTAACGTTGTAAAGATTAGATTGTTTCAGTAAACGCAATTCGAAGAAAAGTTTCATAAAGAAAACCTTTTCAACGCCAGTTTCACATCGCCCTAAGAGACCTTTTGGCATAATGCTTAATGTGGAGAAGACATATATCGCATTGTTGTGTAGCAATGTAAAAAGATGTTTGTCATTAATTACCTGTTCATCTTTTTTAATTGGATAAAGAGCAGAAAAAACTAGTTGCTGCTTCATCGCATTCCAATCAACATTGGGATTGCAACTGTGATTAAAAAGACTAGAAACTGTCGTCAGGGCTGCACCAGTTATAACACATTCATGCTCTCGTTCTTCTGAAAACTGACAGCAGGATTAATTAAATGACTAAAGGGACAATATGAATACTAAATTATAAAATGAATTTTGAAGCCTTCATACCATGTAGGTATTGATAGGAATCATTTGCTGATGATGCAATATCATTCCGCCAACAAAGGTAAACTTCGAGCTCTTCAAAAGCGCTGGAAGGCTTGCTTTCAGTTTCTTTCCAAACATCTCAGTTCTTGTGGCCAAAAAAAAAAGAATGTACGTTGTATTTAATGCTCTTCCAAAAATATCTGCCATGGATCTCTTGTCAGCATTAGTCATTAAACTATATACAGCACGATAATTTTCGTTGTCAAATTTGCCATCATCCGAGTACCCTCTTGTCCGAGGATCTGCACCAAAGAAAAATAATTCTATTACTTAAATCTGTAAATTTATATATTTAAAAAATGGTCTAAAATATTTATAATACAATGTTCTTTTAGCACCTTTCCAGTTATCGACAATCTCCAGTTCTTTCCGCAATGCTTCCAAACTACCCATTTTCCTCGTGATAATAATAGCAAGCCTCATACTCAGTAGGCCCAGTGTATCCATTTGTAGATTCAGCAGAAGACCAACTACAGGACACTCGATATCATGGAACTCTTTCCAGGCATCCTCCTTGCACTTCTCGGAACAAAACATCGCATAAACGCAATGGTCACATGGGATGCCGTTCCAAGCAATAGTCAAACATTTGGCACAATGCGTATACCTCCGTTCCGGTGCCAAGACCAGAGCATAAGGCTTCTCAACGACAAGTATTTCCCCAGGTTTTATGTCGCGAGTAGCTACGAGATGCCTTCCAAAAATGTCGTCATATTTAATCTGTACGCCATCGGAGGCGACAGGAACTTCGGGATTGCAAGAGGCAATCTCTGGAAGAGGATATTCCTTTTCATTTACCTTCCCACGTAACTCATCGAGCTTGATCATCCGAACCATATTTTCAAGAACAGCTTTTGAACCTTCCTTCACAGACATTTTCTCCATTAGTTGATGGGTTTCCTGAAACTTCTTTTCTCTGTCAAGTTCTCCGAGAACTTTGAAACACATTTCTCTACGTAGCAACAGTTTCGGCCTTGAATCATCAGGATAATTGGAACTCAAAGCTCTCTCGATATCTTCCAGACACTCCTTATATTTTTTTAGGCGAAACAGAACTGCGGATCTATTTCCATAGGCCAGAGCAAGTTCTTCAGATCCAGGAAGAGCATAAGCGATGCTCTCCGAGTACATTTCCCATGCATTAACGTACTGTTCAGCATTGGCAAATCTTGAGGTATATATTTTGTTACCTTTTATCCTTTTATTGACAGATTTTTCCGTATCTTTTTGGAAGCATGTCGATTCTGGCTGGATGCCAAACTTTTCAAGCAAATTAAATGTATATATAACCCGTTGTTCGTCAGTAAACGTTTTTAATTTGGCACTTAACTCTCTATGCCCGTTTATTTCAATCAGTCTTACATTAAGAGTACGGAAAATAAGATCCATTTCGCTTAAAAAATCAGATTAGACACTTTGGATATAATCTGTAACCTTACTTTCAATTATTCTCGGCTACTCTGGATCTACTGCGCAGTTTTCTTTGTAACGTTCTTCTTGACGTGGCGATAAACACCAATTGTTCACGACACAGTGTCCCGCTGTCTCTCTCTCTCTCGAGAGAGAGATAGAGAGCAAAACTGAAATGGGGAATTCCCACAGAGCTTACAGAAATAACCCCGGTTCCACAATTCGTGTTAACCGGAGTTCAAATGGTTTACAGCAGGTTAAAGGCGCGTGTAAACAAGTTAAACTTCGGTTATTTAGAGGGTGGGACCGGGCCATAGAGGAAATTGTATGTATATATATTGTTATGCCTTGGGGTGATATTCTTGTTTCGAAAATTATAACAATTTCGTAGCACTCACTTTCTTTATTTAATTCGTGAAGTACCTTTAGTTCGGAGGGACACATGACGACTGACTCTCCTCGGGAGCCGACAGAGTCGTGTCACAGTGAAACAGAGATGTTCTTAGGAAGCGATATGATTCTGCTGACCAGGGAACTACCGCTGTGAAGAGCTGTCCGGCAGAATTCCCAGGGTTCGGCAAATGGCAGAAGATCAAAAGAATATTATAATATTAGGGCATAACAATATACACTGGCATTCATCGATGGTTTCCTCGTGTACCTACTGCACTCTTCGGCCACGCGGCGTACTAACAGCAGGAGTAGCGCGGAATTTGAATCGCCCAAGAGACAAAATGGATTTCCTGAAGAAAATAAAGACTTATAAACAAAAATAATTAATAAAAATGATTTAAATATTATTGTCAAGTGTCCCTGATCCACTTGACGTAGTTTTTGTTAAATGATTATTTACAGAATTTCTTGAAGAATTGATGATTTATGTATACATACATGATTTATTAAAAGTTACTTTCTTAGCGATTCAATTGTTCCATCAACTGAAATGAAGTTAGAATATTATTTTAGCTTAAAAAAAGAGCATATATTTTGAAATCATGTTACACATCCTTTTTATGGACAAAATCAATTCAAATGAAAAGACTAAAAACTAAATTCGACCAATTTAAAAATAAAAATCCAGATCGACAATAAAAATATGAAAAATTAAATTTTATCAAATAAGAAAATTGAAAACATCGTTTCATTTGGCAAGTACTTGAAGTATATTCATAGCATCCACGGTCATTTTAACTCTCTGTTTTATTCTCTTTCCTTTTCACTGCCTCCGCAAAAATATCTAGGGAATAATTAGATTTTCGTGTCTATCGTTTGTAGGATTCAAAGGAACGGAAATGTGCTTTAAATAAGAAACTGCTTCGGAATAGAGTTGACGTATTCGCTTATACTTCACACGATTTACATCGGTTCATCGCGATCGAGTACCGAGACAGTGGGTTAAGGTGATGTGAAAATGGCGTCAAAGAGATCTCATTTATGAAACTTTTCTCCAAACTTTACAACATGAACGTAGAGGCTCTAAGGAAAGTTCCGACCCCCATGAAATTTTTTGAAAATTTGTTTAGAAACATTTAAACATTTTGTACGAAAAATGAAATTTCAAGGGAGTCAGGACCTTTCTTATAGCCTTCATATTTACGTTGTAAAATTTGAAACGACTCGGTACGTCCTGTTCAAAGAGAAATTTCATAAACGACCTCTTTGACCCCTTAAGGTGATGTGAAAGTGGCATCGAAGAGATCTCGTTTATGAAACTTTTCTCTGAACTCGGTGTACCGAATCGTTTTGAACTTTACAACGTGAACGCAGAGACTATAAGAAAGGTCTCGACTCCTATGAAATTCTTTTTAAATTTGTTTATAGACATTTAAACAATTTTTATGAATAATAAAATTTCACGGGGGTTTGGGCCTTTCTTATAGCCTCCATATTTACGTTGTAAAGTTTGAAACGACTCTGTACGTCCTGTTCAAAGAGAAATTTCATAAACGACCTCTTTGACGCTATTTTCGCATCACCTTAAGGGTGGGCGAAAACGGCCCAGCAAGTGGCGCGTTCGTTCTAACATCTTATCGTACATTCATTATAAGTCCATCCGTTCCGTGTCGAGAATCGATCCTGGGTCTCTTCGGCAGCGTCCTTTTCCTTCCAAAGACTGTTCGGCGGGTTCTTCCGAATTCAATAAAAGAAACGACGCTGGTAGCCTCCGTATCCTGAGCGTGATCGGGAACCCACGAGTTCGGAAAGACGTCTCATGTCTTCACGGTCCAATCCTCCATAGCCTTCGTAACCCTTTAACAAATTATAAAGGATAAACAAAGATAATCATTATTACGAATTCAAGTCCCATTAAGGGCGCTCACCACTCTAGCGATTTTGCAGGGTCTCATGGGGACAACGATTCCGAACGTATTTCTAAACCGATCGAGCTTAACGAGTGCTCATATCGAAGATGAAACGTT